GGTTTGGTGGTCTTCGGCTGTTTTTTGATTAGCCCAGTTCTAAAACGGGGGTAATTCTACCAGGCCGGCTATGTTGTCTATATGCAATAAGAAAATAGCACATAAAAGCTCCCAAAGACCCTGGAGACCCCCAAAACCCCAAGTTTTTGGCATGCTATGAAGGCTAGGTCTTCTAGTTCCTGTTATAGAAAGCACGAACTTTTTTTCATCAGAAAAGGGAATCCCACTTGACATTTGACAACATATGGCTCCAAAGTAATCCGCTTATTATTACATCACTTGAATGTTGACGCTAAATGAGATTTGGAGGTAGGCCTCTGCAAGTAAATTTCATGGATGATTTTCGCCTGTTCTCGACAAAGAGGAAAAAAGTTCCCTTCTGGCGATAGTTAGCATGACGCAAATACAGAAAATGGGAAAATATCATCCTCCTTATTATTATTTGTTTGTTTATTTACCATTTGCACGTATATTAAAAACAATTACACAATCAAATAATAATAATCAAAGAATGTGCGGGGTAGGCCAGAAACCTGGGTGGTTTTTCTAGAGGCCTACCCCAAGCAAAGATAACTTATGACAAAACATATTTAAATTAAACATCAAAATTAAACAATGAAATAATTAAACAATGAGTAATTAAACAAAATCAAGACACAGAAATAATAACTGAGGTGTATAAACTAACTAAAACGAAATTAAACAAAAGTCTTATACCTGTAATTCAGGTAGATGTTACAGATTAAACTGATTAAATAATTAACATAAGAATTAACGATTAAAACAAAATATTAACAATAACAAGGAAAACAAACAAATCAGATTGTGGATGTACTGGGATTTTGTAGGAAAAAGTTTTTAAGAAGTTTTTTAAATACAGGAGTTGACTGGCAGTTTTGTAACAGTTGGCTTAACTTATTCCAGACGCTGGGGCCTCTATACGCTATTGAGAATTGTAAAATCCTCCGGTTCCTTCCTTCGGGTTTTAGGAAGGAACCGGAGGATTTTAGCCCTGCGAAGGAGGATGGGAAAATATTAGCCTCCGTAGCAGGCTTATAGAAGTGGGGGTTTGGTGGGTGTTCGGCTGTTTTCTGATTAGCCCAGTTCTCAAAGAATGGGGGGTAATTCAACCAGGCTGGCAACCATGTTGTCTATATGCAATCAGAAAGACACTGAACACACAGTTTTTGGCATGCTATGAAGGCTAGGAAAATATGTCGTTTCGCAGCCTATAAGTGTAGAGATGATACTAGCTAGACTATCACACTACTAATGTCACTTTCTTCAGGAAAAAATAATAATTTTTGATTATATTTCGATACCATGTTTTATCGTGTATCGTCTCGATGTTGAGAATTTAGGCACTATATTTTTTTTGCTCATCTTTTTTTCTTTTTTCGCACCCTCGCACCAGATTGGGAATCTGCAGTGGAGGCCATCCATAAAGTTTACATGCTACGGCCACGCTTGGCTATAGTTTGTTGTTTTCACCAGAACTGACGCAACAGAACTGTACGGCGTCTGAATGACGAATTTAAAGCGGATACATCTGAGGACTGGGCGGCTTGGCATTTGGCATTTCCGCTTTTCACTGTGTGGACAAAAGCGGGGAAATATTCAATTCCCCCCCTTTCCATGTCCGACACGTTTTCCGGCAGGATGCAGAATGGGCCACTACAAGTCACAATTCTGCCGTCCGTATTTCTCTTCTTCAAGTTGCAATTAAAAAAAAAAAAAGGAACAACAATCAGGAACAACAATAAAATAATTCAAGTGTGTGTGTGTGTGTGTGTGTGTGTGTGTATGTGTGTGTGTGTGTGTGTGTGTGTGTGTGTGTGTGTGTGTGTGTGTGTGTGTGTGTGTGTGTTTTGTCCGTGCGTGCGCGTGTATATTTGTGTACGCTTTAATATTAGCAGCTGTCTCAATGGACGCTGACAATAGCGCTGAGATGGCGGTTGACACAGGACTTCAAATTGTGCCTGTCCCTAATATAAGAGTTACAAAGTTTTGTGGCAGATAGTTCCAGAGCTTTTGCGTGCGTTTGTGTGTGTACGTGTGTGTTTTATGTTTGTTTGTGTGTGGGGGGGGGGGGCGTCATAGCACGAAAACAGATATTTCTAAGCAAAATTTACGAAGTACATACGTAGCACGGAAAGCGTGTGCGTTACGCGTGTGTGTCCCAACAAGGATAGACTACAATCTAAAAATCGCAATTCCGAAAGCTTACATCAAATACAATCAACGACAATTGAAATGTCGAGAAACAACGGTTTTCCTTCCTGCAGACCACCCTGTACACGGCTCACAAACATCACTTGTTGTCAGGGTCAGTAACTGGACTATTTGTCTCTGTAAGGACGGGAAGTCACGGTCGGGTTCTCCCGGACCATTACCCGTACACAGAGCGGCCCACTGTTAGCACGTTAGACCCCGCCTTCCCGATAAAACTGCACATCCATCTCACATAGGTTCTCATCTCCATGGAGCTTTAATAGCCTCTACCAGGCTTCGGGAGGCGGCTGGCAAGAGTCAAAATCGGCCAAATAGAGAGATAACATGCCGAGGGAGTTGGTCTTTTGGAGAAAACAGTTTGGCGCACCCGGCTGCGGCAAAATGTACTCTCTAGCGGACCAACTCCCCTGGCATGCTATCTCTCTATTTGGCCGATTTCTACTCTTTCCAGCCACCTCACGAATCCTGGTAGAGGATACATAGAACTGAGGATTTCAAGACGCCCTTAGGGAGATCGCCGAGCAAAATTTGTCCGACCCTTGATTTCGTAACTGCAACATATTGCAAGATGCAACAGTATGGCTTAACTTTTAAAATTTTAATCCAATCAAACACATCATGGCCAGAAGTTAAGACCAAAACGAACGGACCTAGTTCCCCGACGACTCTTATATATGCATTTTGCATCACGTATGTGTAAAAATGAGTATAGATTAGATACTAGGACCTTACACGATGTATACTGTATCTTCGTTATGTCTGACGGTGCCCTTACCATTCCCTCGTGTCGTGACCTCAATGAAAAGTGGCCTGAAGGACGATTCGAGCTTGTATTATGAATAACGAATAGGTTCAAACAAACAAATAAAAAGTTCAGATGTTAACTGTTATGACAGAGATACTGCTTCATCATTTGGTGCGCGAAAGCATTTGTTCCTTTCCCTTCAATCTTAACTATTTGGTCATTTCAAGCATTACGTTATTTTCAAAGACATTTTTATAATGTCCATGGTTGTTGTTGCATATTTACTTGTGATACAGTGGCGTCTACGAGTAAAAGGTCATGCGTCATGTAGTGCCTGAAAATGTCACGTAAAGTCGATTAGTCATGCTACATGTGTACTATACAGCCGGGGTCAGCAGGGATAGACTTCCCACATTGTGTCACATTTCAGACGATTTCACGGCATTTAGCGACCAATGGGCGACGCCATCGCTGTGACGTCATCTCAACAGCTGTTGCCTAGTTCCCCGACGATTTGCCATTCTTAGGCCATGTTAATTTGATTATATGGATGACATCTACGCGCGCATTAATTTTCAGCCATTCAAAAAAAAAAGGTTTCAACCATACTGTAAATCGTACAAATATATACCGTAAGTTGCAAAAAAATATTGGAAAACGCTACCAATGTCGTAGAATTCCAAAATCAAACGATAAATTAAAAGAAAGACGAAAATGTAAAGGAATGAATTGGAAGAGTAGATTATTCACCATACCATACTCTGTGTCATTTGTTCCACCTTCTTGACCACGTAGATTTCATAATGAAAGCAACTTTTTTTGCCAAACTTAATTTTATTCGCACGCTCGCATCAGTTTTGGGGTTCCCAGGGGATGTAATCCATATAATCATATCTACACGGCCTTACAGACGAGGTGTATGGTTCGACGCGAATTCTACAATTCTAAAACGTCAAATAGAATGAAATTTTTCTCACGTATATCTGATAAAAGGCCAATTTTCACAGATCATTTGTGTAAGCAAAACATAAGGTCATATTTTGCATTTCGTGACAAGAAAGGGTTTGGTAGCATGAATAGATATTAGTTTCTTGTTCAAATAGTTTCTTTCGGCCCCAATCTTTCTCTACATCTTTTCTGCATTATGAATTCCAATATTCCCCTGTTTTTTGACCAAATTTAAACACTATTTGGTAATTGTAATAAATTAACCGTGTAATATATTTTATGTCAACAATGCGAACAGATAAATAACCAAATGTAAATACCCAGTGCTCAGAAAATGCATGTGAATAAACTGAATATACTCAACATAACTTTAAGGCCTGTGCCATAAATTGAATTCTTAAGAAACATAAAAAAAAAACATCCATAAGTCACATTCTTCGAGACTACATCAATACAGCTATCTGCATGTTTGTTACTGTATAACCTAGCAACTTAAATAAACACATATCGGTCCCTTTTGTCAATAGTACGTTATAGTAGACTCATACACAGATACGTAAGTTACATTTACTACATTTTGACATAAATAAAACTTCAAAGCCAAAAATCTTACAAAGATGGTAGTGATTTGTGTTAGTATTTACATATTTCGATATTTCTCCCTAAAATATACGATTATTACGTGCATACAAACCATGCATAATGTGCTGATATTAAAATGTATGACATGTATATAATAAAAGGTACACCACTATCGTGTTATCTAAAAAACGTGAACCACCTTATATACTTTCTTCAAGAATAAAATTAAAGTTTGTTATCATCAATTCAGCATGTGCTAATGCTTCTAACAACCCACAAAAACCACTGAAACAAATGTTTTTTTTTTTTTCAAATTTCTGGTACTAAAATCTTTAACACCATAACATTATTTTTTTTCCAATTGTGTACGGGAGTGTAACCAGTAGTCAATGTACCCTTCATGGCAAGAATCTACAGACTTCCAATGTTGTAACTTTGCTATCCATGAAAACTTGAATGAGTTCTTTTCTATCCTTCCATCACTCTCCTTCTTCTATTTCTCTCCTGTTCCGTTGTTCCCATTGTTTCTTTCTTCTTCAGACGACCTGCGACTTATGGCCGGAGACACTCCCTTACGTCGCTTCTTACGCCTGGAAGTAAAGACCAAACGTTTCTTATTACTCATTTCCTTAAATATCATTGAGCTCTCTCTCTCTCCCTCCCCCCCCCCTCTCTCTCTTTCCAAACGTGTAAAAGGATCTAAAAGTAATGGATTTTTATTTAGATACCTATGGGGTCATGAATTGATGTTGCGCAACAATGATGTACAAGTGGACTTCTATCACGTGGTGAACACGGGCGGGGCACGACCTGTCTTAGCCAATCACAGTATGAGCTTGATCCGTCCTAACCAATCGCAGTGAAGATCTACACGTGCTCCTCCTGGTGGAGGCTATCCTCTACCAGGCTTCGGGAGGCGGCTGGAAAGAGTAGAAATCTTCTCTCAAGCAGACCAACTCCCTTGGCATGCTATCTCTCTATTTCGCCGATTTCTACTCTTTCCAACCGCCTCCCGAAGCCTGGTAGAGGCTAGGTGGAGGGTAGAACATTCCAAAGTTCTTACTTGAGGGCGGCTATGATAATACAGGCCAGCGCAGACAACACGATGAGTGGCAGGATGACAGCCAACGCGATGACCCAGCCTGGAGTGCCTCCGGTAGCTGAAGAAGTCATAAAAAGAGATAAAATCCAAGAGGCATCTTCAGAGAAGTATCATTATTTTATTATCACTTGTATCTGGTTCCTGTCGATTCAAATTAAAGCATTCTTGGTTCAGCTCTTCGACGAAAAGGTGCCAAAGAACAGAATATAGATAGGACAACAATGTTTTACTCATTGGCTCTCAGAATATGTGTTGCAGTTAGGCCCCTGTCCGCTAGACGGCGACCGCTACCGTACAGCGACCAAAATTTGATATGTGTGACCCTTAATTTCACATCTTTGCTATGTTGCGTGAATAATTCCTTATCCCAAAAGAAGGAAGCCGAGAAGAAGCATATTTTTATGAAGCAGGTGCTTCGGCATAAAGCTTGAAAGCTGCATGCGTGCAAGATTGGGAAAGGGCCTACAGGTCTGGCAATGTCCGCCGGTGAACTCTTCCGTGCAGGTGCAGGTGTAGGTGTCAATCATGTCCACACACAGTCCGTCGTTCTGGCAGGGGGAGGAGTCACACTCATTTATGTCTGCAGGGGATGCACAGGAAGGTCAGCGATTGGCCAGCAGATAATTCATCTAAGGGTGAAAGGCTATGGCGGCGGTAGGCATGAAATTGCATGTGCAAAGCAGGCTATAGCAAAAAAAAAAGGAGAAGCAGAACGTTTTTATAAACATTTGGCATGAAAATTCTCGATTTCTCACTAACAGATTTCATACTTTTATCACAACTTACACAACTACTTGTTTGTTTGTTTATTTGTTTGTTCATCTGATGTGACCTACCGTCCAAACAGATGGGTCCACTGTAGCCCGCGGGACAGTCACACTCAAACCCTCCCGGGTTGTTGATGCAGGGCGCGTTGTTCTGGCAAGGGGACGTCAGGCACTCGTCGATATCTGAGGAGGCAAACAAATGCGAGTGAAGGTTTATGAAATATTACATTGACCACGAAAACAGCTACGGCAAAAATAAAAATACGTGCATCATCAAGGGCGTGTCTGCAGACGACGTATAAAATAACATGCCGATTAAACAAAAGGGAACTCTGTGTTTAGCTGCAAACATGAAAAAAACGACTAACCACAATACTCCGTCGGAGGTCATGACCTCCTTCACGGAGTAAAAAAAAAATGCAAGTGTACACGGAATTATACCCGCTCTCTCATTGGTCAAATCGTTAATTGCATGGCTGTCATTGGTTGACCTGCTAATTGCGTCAGAGAATGAAGCTCGTACCTATGTCACACCTGACACCTGTCCACCCGGTCTGACAGTGACACGTGTAAGCCGCCCATTGGTCCTCACAGCCCTCGGCGTGAACACAGGGGTTGGGGGTACAGTCGTCCTTTTGCGTCAGCGCTAGGGGATGGAACAAAATACGGGTCATTTATTGACAATCAAATACATCTTGAAAATATTACCGCTAATTAATACTTATCTATCCGTGCATGCCGAAAGTACACAAATAACGTTATTGGGAATACGATCAAATTGTATATGGTAGGGAGAAAATTCCGGATCCAGAAGATCACAAATTCCGGATCCAGAAGAGTGCAAATTCCGGATCCAGAAGAGTGCAAATTCCGGATCAAGAAGAGTGCAAATTCTGGCTCAAGAAGAGTGCAAATTCCGGATCAAGAAGAGTGCAAATTCCGGATCAAGAAGAGTGCAAATTCTGGATCAAGAAGAGTGCAAATTCCGGATCAAGAAGAGTGCAAATTCCGGATAGGATAGTAATATACCTACTTGTCTCGCAGATATAGGCGCGATCTACGTCACAACTACTGACGTTGACGGTGTAGATCGTGACGTTATTCTCGCTGTCGTAGACGAGGTAGCCACAGCCTGTAGTCTGGCTCCACAGGCCCTGGTCCCACAGTCCCCAGCCGGGGTCTACAAGGCGACACATGTAGGAGAGAAAGGCACAATTGAGTCTGTTTTTGAGACTAACAAGTCGTTTGCAACTTTTTAAAATCGCCTTTTTAGGTTCAAATTGTACCAAAGTTGATTTTAAATCTAGTCTGGCTCAAATTGGACCAATCCCAAAGCCCCGCCCAACTCCGTCTACACCTAAAATGCAACATTTGACACAGGCATGCAGCTTGTTTCTCATTGGTCGAGCCGCTAATTGCCATTCTGTCATTGGTTGAAATGTTAATTGTGATGTACAGTCAGGATCGGTCTCACACCTGTTGTCATGTTAACCCCGTCGCTCGCCTGGAACGCTCCATGACCCGGCTCGTACTGCAGACCGATCCAAACGTCCTCCGCCGTCCGGGTGTAGTTCGTGAGGAACCGGTAGGTGGAGCTGTTGGTGACGGCGACCAGGCGGGCGCCCTCACGAGCGCAGGCGGCCTGGGCTTCAGCATGGCTGCGCCGAGTTTGGTTAAACTCTTTGAAGCAGGAGTCTTCGAGCTGAGCCCAGCCTTCTGGGCAGAAGTGAAACACTGCGGATCGCAATGAAAAGATATTAAAAAGTACAAAGTACTGATGCATTAGCAGGAATGGTTCATTTAAAAACTTGTACACACACAAGAAAAAAAATGTACCTATGGTCTTTCGTACATTTCATCGATTGCACTATATGCTTTCATTGACTTTTGGATACAAGACACGATGTAGCAAAACAAAGACATATATCTGCCGTACCTTTGCAAACTTCCCCATCTCGATAAGTGGCAAAGTTGCAGTAACAGGAATATTCGCCAGGAGCGTTGTCACAGAAGAACCCATCAGGGCATGACACAATTCCAGACGAGCACTTGTCAAACTCTGGGTGGAAAATAGACAAAGATCACCCGACATGTACCGAGTTAAAGCTATCTAATGACAATGCCCCTACTGTACTTGGTGACAGCGAGTTTCACTCTGTAATGGTTCTAGGAAAGAATGAATTCATGAACACCTTAATCCTTGGTTGATAACTCTGGTACTTGAAGGCATGGCCTTGCTTTTTCTTGTTCTCTTCTGGGCTGGTATTAGGCGCAATCGACTGTCAAAATCACAGAACATCAAGAATTTTGGCAATTTAGCTACTTACGTTTCTTGCAGACGAAGTTTGCACGAGAACCGCAAAGTGTATCGTCCCAGTTTCCTGGAAAATAAAAGAAGGAGAATTCGACTCCGTACGAAATATAACCAAAAGGCGACACAAGCAAGAACGACAAATCACGACGCCGTACGAAACATTACGAGAAGAACGACACAGGCACGACAATACACGACGCCACACGAAGAATTAAGGAAAAACGACACAAGCAAGAACGACAAATCACGACGCTGTACGAAACATTGCGAAAAGACGACGCTGGCACGACAATACACGGCGCCGTACGAAACATTACAACACGATATGCATGTAGAGCTCTCAAGGCTTACCATCTTTATTTCTCCACAGAGTAGTACAGGCGATGCCGTAAGAGTACCTCGGCTCCCCCGGGTGAAACTGTGTGTAGTCCACCGGCGTACTGTCCTGCCATGCAAGCACTCGCTGGATACACAGAAAATCAGCCGTCAGTATATGCTATGGGCGACATGTAGTGTCACCGAAGAAGTAAGAACTAGAAAGGTAAAAATTGCAAAGCAAATGTATAATGTTTACCTTCGCATACGGTCTGCTCTGTTAATTCTCACTCAAATATAGTCATATAATATAATTTTATATATATGGTTACGAGTACAGGAGTCTAAATCCTGCTCTGTTAATTCTCACTCAAATACATTCATATAATATAACTAGAAAGGCCAATATTTGCTTTGGAGCAAATACAGCGATGGGTTCACCACATTTTACCACATGGCAGGGAAAGAATGAGAAACACAAGGGAAAACAATGATTTACATTGATATAACTATAATATGAAGTAAAATACAACTAAAACAACAGTTGGATAGCTATTCCCTACTTTATTGGTTAGGATTTTTAATTGCATAATGCAAACTGTTGATTTTCAAAATAAAAAAAAAACGTCCATGCCCGGCATTCCAATGCTGGAGCAGGAAAGCTTGAAATACCTACCAAAACACTTGAATACAGACATACTGTCAGTATGGAAATGCTTCTGTGCAGGTGTTAATCAAGTTAAATCCCAACAGCCAATCAGCAAGAAGTATAGAGGAAAGCTGCATGCCTATTGGTTGATGCCCTGCATTCCATTGTGATGACTCATGCCCAAACGTGGTAAACAAGGCAAACTAACACAGTAATACATTTGCTATAACACAGCCAAAAAACTCAAATAAAACCATTCTAAAAGCCTGTATCACAATAATTTAAAAAACGCCTAGGGGTATTTGCCCACTGTACCTCCATACCAAATTTCAGGACCTTAGGCCCTAAAATGAAGAAGCTGAATCCATTTAAAAAATGGCAGGAGAAGGAGGAGGAGGAGAAACATCAGAAAAAGCAATATGGTTTCACCACACCACTTCGTGGTGTGGTGAACCATAATTATATATATATGGTTACGAGTACAGGAGTCTAAATCCTGCTCTGTTAATTCTCACTCAAATACATTCATATAATATAATTTTACATATATGGTTACGAGTACAGGAGTCTAAATCCTGCTCTGTTAATTCTCACTCAAATACAGTCATATAATATAATTTTATATATATGGTTACGAGTACAGGAGTCTAAATCCCTCCTGCTATAAAATTGCAACATTATGTAACCCAACACTAGTTACCATGGTGACAGACGTCTGGATCAGGCCATTGACCTTATTTGTTTGGAGAACAAGAAGAAGAAGAGGACGAAACTGAGCAAAAACAATTATTATACTGTTACTGCCTGGTAAATTTGATATTGTATTTGTAGCCACCGAAAGATCTACTTGGAGATTTGCATATTCAATTACCAGTTTCAGCTACTAAGGTCGGTAGTAATCAGAAAGATGGGTTAGCGGAAAGAATGGGGCCGGTAAAACACCCCTACGCCGGCCTGTGGAAATGGTTACCAGGCCGCGCCATTTTCAGCTACGAAGGTCGGTAGTAATCAGAAAGATGGGTTAGCGGAAATAATGGGGCCGGTAAAACACCCCTACGCCGGCCTGTGGAAATGGTTACCAGGCCGCGCCATTTTCGGCTATGAAGGTCACTCGGTAGTAATAAGAAAGATGGGTTAGCGGAAAGAATGGGGCCGGCCTGTAGGAATGGTTACCAGGCCACGTCTTACCGTGTTCGTTACGGTGAGTCCTATCCAGCCGCCAGTCGGCCCGGCCACTGTCCAGATGAAGTCGTTCTCCTCGGCGGAGTGAGCGGAGGCGAGGAACCCGCCCTCCGTCTGACAGTGGTCGTCAGCCGCGTAGAACCCCAACTGTGGGTCCGTCACGTACTTGTAGAAATAACCGTTGTACTGATGGAACTGAACTGTATGGGTCAAAAAGTACACATATTGTAAGGCCATGTTGATTTGATTACATGGATGACATCCTCTGGGAACCCCAAAACTGATGCGAGCGTGCGAATAAAAAAAAGTTTGGCAAAAATGTTGCTTTCATTATGAAATCTACGTCGTCATGAAGGTTGAACAAATGACACAGAGTATGCTATGGCGAAGAATCTACTCTTAAAATTCATTTCTTTTCATTTTTGTCTTTTTCGTTTGATTTTGGCATTCTACGACATTGGTATCGTTTTCCATTTTTTTATGTGCAACTTACGGTATATATTTGCAACTGTTTTGTACCATTTACAGTATGGTTGAAAACTTTTTTTTGGAAACGGCCGAAAATTCATGCGCGCGCGGATTTCATCCATATAATCAAATCAACATGGCCTAATCGGAGATTTCGGACTATGGTTCCTGGAAGTATTGTGGGCTTTCGTGAATTTCCAGTCCATAGACATGGTTTGTATGATGTAATTCAATCAGGTATCACACCACTTCTCATACCACCAGGCGAGTCATTGGTCACCTTCCGGCGTGCCCTCCCTATCAATCGTCAAAATCACCACCCACCCACCATGCAACCGGGAGCAATCAGATAAACCATAAACTCAGGCACGCAAAACAATACTTCCGTACCCTGAAGTAAAACTGGTCTTCTTGTTTATTTCCTACCATCTTTACTGTGTATAAATATGGTTCTGGCCATTTACGTGTGAGATGTACAAAAAAGGCTAAAAAATGTCTCCATGGAGATATTATAATGAGACTGAAACGACTTACATTCGCAGAGAGAAACGTTGCAGTACTCAAACCGGACGCTAGGATCCGTTGTGTAGCACCAAGGCCGGCTCTTCCCGTCGGGGTTGCGGCAGAAGTTGTGATCCAGGCCGGCCGTTGGGAAGGTTGCGGGGGTGTAGACGTGGCGGTGAGGGGACTGGGCGTCCCACGGCTGACAGGACAGCCCGCTCCCGGTCACGCTCACGTTCCCCCGGTAGTCCCCGCCGTTCGTCACGGTGTATTCACAGTCAGCAGGAAGAAAGGCTGATAAAAGGAAGAAATATTTGTTGGAACTTTGTAGTACAGTTCTACAGTTTTTAGTAAGAAAATCAACCTTGCTGCATGAGTTACGTGTTCAACAAGCTGAATTGCACTGATTTGTGCAATCATATGTGGCACAACATCAACATTACATACAAAGCAAAGAATACAAAACTACAACATGTACTATCAACGTGTACGTGTACGTACGTTGTTTGGATAGTCACTAAGGCTTAATACTTGGTGTTTCTTTTCCAAGATTCTAAAATGATACGCAAAATAATAAATCAATCAGAACGTGTATTCATACACCCTCTCGAAATTGAGAGAGGGCGGTATAAGAAGCTCCAAGTGTATGAACGAATTTGCAAACATTGTACGTTGAATACGGTGGAAGACGAAACGCATTTTATATCAAATTGTACCCTCTATAGCAATGAACGAAATGAACTCTTTGACTTAGTCTCCAAATCCTACCCAAACTTTCACGCATATACAAATGAAAAGAAAACTACTCTCCTCTTAACATCCGAAAACCCACAAATTATAGAAAAAGTGGGATCCTTTGTCTTCCTCTGTCTTCAAAAAAGAAGTCAAACCCAGTAGTTTTTTTTTCTACTAGTAGTCTCTTAATAGTTATCAGTAGTTATATGTGTACTTATTACCTGTTTTTATACAAATGTTTCTTCTGTTCATGCAATTAGCCTTCGGGCATGAATTTGCAATAAAACTTTCCTATTATCCACTGCCTTCACAGAAGAAGTCAAACCTCATAATATCGAATGTAGTTATATAATAACTTGATCAGACCGTGGTTGTATGTTCCCTATTGCTTTACTTTACTTTCAAATTCTTTGACACTGTACATGAAATTAGCCTTCGGGTATGATTTTTCAAACAACAGTCTTACCTCCATGGACTTGATTCGTAGTTAAGATAAAGCCAGCGAGGATAGCATAGACTCCGATCGACATCTTGGATCGCTGTGGGCATGTAAAAAAAATGAATCATATGCAACAGCTCGTACTACTAAATGTGCGGAATGCAAAAACAGCCAGAAGAGCCAGCGGTAACTACAGAGGACGGAACCCAGGTTATGGCTGCACATGTTGCTGGTACCATTGTGTCATCAAGGTCGGCCTTGAATTTGTATACAATTATATTCTATCGATTTTGTCGTTACTATCTTTGATACAATACACCAGTCATACTACGTGTGGCATAGCGACAGAGTGATCGACTCGGAACCAAGAAGTCCCGGGTTCGAGTCCTGACATGCCATCGATCTTGTGCATGCCCTTGGGAAAGGCACTTTACACGACTTTCCTCACTTAGCTCAAGTGAAAATGAGTATTGTATTGTCCCTGTGTTGGTGGCGGCATTAATATAAGTTGAAAAAATTTGAGTGTGCCGTCACCACGTCTTGTGATTACATGTTGGAATATATAAAAAAACGCACGACAAATGTGACCCCACAGTCATAAAAAGTACTCAAACATTAATTTGTAAATTTAAGAAAGCTGTGGAAAAGCGGGAAAGCATCAAACGATCGAAAAAAATCAACGGCTCTCAGTGGCAAATCCGTACTAGTGTGTTTTTGGCACACAGTTAGACAGATTAGCCAAAGAGGCTCGGTGGGCGTCACTCCACCGTACAGGTGGGGAAGTTGTGTAAAGTGCCTTTCCCAAGGACACAACGACGGTCCACGGTGAGAATCGAACACAGGACCTCTCAGTTCCGAGTCCAACGCTCTAACCGTTGCGCCACCGACGCCACCACCAAACCATCAAACGAAAAATAGAAAGTATTTCTGAAAGCCCGAACGTAGAATATGAGAACTTACTTCCCAAATGTCTTTCCCAAAAGTTTCTCTCTACCGAAGAGCGGAGTCTGTTGTCCGAAACTGGTCCTCTGGCTTGTCCCGTTACTATTTTATCTGTTGTTTATTGGAGAAAGACACAAGCACACCTGGTATCCAAGTGCTTAATTTTCTATTAGTCAAAACTATACAACATTTTTTTCACCAAACATTGAAATATTTCAGATCTGAGGACAACCGATTAAAGGCAATGAATTGTTCAGATCGGAAACCAGGTGTCATGGAATTTTTTTACCGTGGGAATTAATATAGGCTGAAAATTGCCGATTTGTGGAATCCCTAGATACGCGTTGTACGTTCGAGGAATGTGGGAATTTTAACCGGCACAGATGTTAGACATAGGTTCAGACAAATCGACTCTATCATTACACCTGTTTAAAGTAATTTAGGCCACAACACGTAAATTTTATGGATGATAGATCCAACAAATCTGATGCGATAGGGCGAAAAAAACAAGGCGGGCCAAAAAAAACAAGATTTCTATATTTTCAAATCTTGAGATCATAAACATTGTTAAACAATGATTTTTTTAATTCAGCGGTAACATCAGATATAAAGGAATGAAATGCAACAAAGTACAAGTAAAAGACAAAACAGTAAATCGGAGCCTTTTCTTGTCTCCTATCTTTACATTTCTCTGCCATCCACGTCACAGCATGGCAACAGATCGACATCTTTGCCCATTTTCGGCATGGTGACCACTGTCAAAGGGCAACAAAATGTCTTGTTTTTTCCCCAAAATCAGGCGAAAATTAATGCGCGCGCTGATGTCATCCATACAAATTACTTGCTGTGGCCTTAGTGCATGATGTGGCTGTGTTGACCGGCTTCGAGTACTAGTATTGGAACTGTTGCGCCACCCTGCGGCAACTGTCCAGGATGACAGGAAGACACAAAAGCAAGGTTATAACGTTTAAAACAACAGAAAGTCCATCCACTTGCACTACCTCATGTTTCCAACTCAGAAACACAAAATCTATGTGTTGAAAACATATCTTGGATAGCTGATCCAGACATATATAGTAGCTAGGACTGAAACGCTTTTTTTGCCCTTTTCGCGACTGTAATACTTGCGTCATGCGGTCACAGAAAGTCGATCTTTCCTAGTTCTTACGTCAAGAACCGTTCTTTCAACATCATCAAACCGTTTTAACTGTACACACTGTACGTAGATACTCTTTTTTCTTATTAAACCGCGCCCTCCCACGCATGTACATTTGTAGGGAGTGCCAAAGTTCGAGATATTACATGCATAACATATTCATTGTCTGCCTCCTGCATGTATACAGCACAAACCATTCTCCATATCTATACTCTACAGTGGCGTTGTTTTCTTATAGTCTTGTATATATTTTGTTTTCTCAGTTTAAATTTTGTTACAGGAAGTTTAGAGTGTTGTTTACTGTTGTTTGGATGTGGGACGGGTTTAGGGATGCCCGCAGCTAACAACAGCAGGCGCCACGTAACGGACGTTACCGCACTCGGGCTACAGAAAAGATACCTTCCGCGGAAACACTACGTGAGTATGGCCGTTATATTCAATACAACTAGCTACCACAGTAGCTGGGCCATCGTAGCCTCCCCGGTATCTCTACGGTGCTGGGAGCGTTACTTGTCCGCCTATTATTTTATTAGTACACGCTGGGATTTTTTACGGGGTCGATTTCAAGCTGTTTGCAAAGATAGGCTGTCAGAAAGATAGGCCTTATACTTATGAAAATGGTTACCAGGTTATTATATAACGCCAGAAGAAACAATATGCTGTATTGTTATTAGTTATATTTGGTTCTATTTGTCATTGTTAGTTATTATTTTTTCCAGCTGTGACGATGATATTACCAAATTTCATCACCACAGTGTCTTGTTTGTTTGTTTGTTTTCCCTTTTCATCTTTATATAGAAAATAGGAAGGGCACGTGATTGTGTACAGATGTATTTCTTGGATGAACCAAATGACAGCCGATGTGCTTTGAGATAACATGATAAGTCAATTTTTCGGAAATTTGTAGAATTGAGCAGACGGCATGATTTGGTCAATTTGGACAAAGGAACGTATTACATTACATTATGATACTCGTATACCAGTACTTACCTGGTTTTGGTTATCACATATGCATATACATTGTACTTTCCCCTGTCAAAAAATATTAATATTGTTCTAACCATCTAACAATATAACACAATCGCAGACATGGTTTACCCTATAAGATTAAAAATGGCCAGCTTGTTTTTGTCTCCTTCAAACTACCTTTTTAAGTGTAGTTATGTCACGGTAAGCAAGAGTATCTAAAAAACGGCAATTTTTTGAATGCGAGCCAATATTTGTAGTCTAACAATATACAACACCTACAGCAAAGCTTTGTCATCTCTCTTCTCTTTATCTCTATATGCATGTAGTATCTCTACATTGTGTGTGTGTGTGTGTTGTGTGTGTGTGTGTTGTGTGTGTAATGTGTGTGTTGTGTGTGTATGTGTTGTGTGTGTGTTGTGTGTGTGCTGTGTGTATGTGAGTGTGTGTGTGTGTTGTATGTGTGTGTGTTGTGTGTTGTGTGTGTGTATGTGAGTGAGTGTGTCTGTGTGTGTGCATGTGTGCGGCGTGTATGTGTGTGTGTGTGTGTGTGTGTGCGCGCGCGCTCGCGCGCCTGTGTGTGTGTGCGTGTGTGTGCGTGTGTGCATGTGTGTGTGTGCCTGTATGTGCGTGTGTGTATGTGTGTGTGTGTGTGTGTGTGTGTGTGTGTGTGTGCGCGTGTGCTTGTGTGTGTGTGTGATGTGTGTGTGTGCGGTGTGTGTGTATGTGTGCATGTGTGTGCGCGTGTGTGTGTGTATGTGTGTGTGTGTTTGTGTGCGCGTGTGTGTGTGTATGTGTGTGTGTGTGTGAGTGTGTTTGTGTGTGTGTGTGTGTGTATGTGTGTGTGTGTGTGAGTGTGTTTGTGTGTGTGTGTGTGTGTGCTCATGTATGTGTGTGTGCGTGTGTGTGCTTATGCGTGTGTGTGTATGTGTGTGTGTGAGTGTGTTTGTGTTTGTGTGTATGTGTGTGCGATTGTGTATTTGTGTGTGAGTGTGTGTGAGTGTGTGTGTGTGCGCGCGCGCGCGCGCGCGCAACTTCCAGAAGGTTTGAAATCCCCGCTTTCTTGTTTTTCTGAGAATTTGTCTTGATATATTTTTTACCATTTATTTGTTTATAGCAAAATGTTACCAGAACAAGAATAAGACCAAAGTACACACGTTTGATAAGTGAAGGTCGCGCGGCATATGTAACCAAGGTGCTATTTTCATATCAAGAAATGATTTGTTTTCTAGTTCTCTAAAAAGAAAATTACAAAAATAGATTGTTCACCCCCTGCAGAAGTTTAACTGGCTGTTCAATTTATTTATTTTTATATCAGAAAGGCAGAGAGACATACGAATTTAATGGTATTCTCTCGGTGGTAGATATTAGTCTGGTTGTAAAATATAGACCGTGTGGTGTAGGTACTGGAGAATGGGAGTGGGTGGTCAGCGCTTGTGGCTGTGTGTGGGTGGGCATGGCAATGTGTACCAAAACAAAAACAAAAACAATGCTATATGTGCAACAAGAACAGGAAACACGTGAGGTCGTGTGGCGTAGCGGCAGAGTGCTCGACCCGGAACCAAGAGGTCCCGGGTTTGAGTCCTGACATGCCACCGATCTTCTACCATTGGGAAAGGCATTTTACACGACTTTCCTCACTTAACTCAAGTAAAAATGAGTACTGTGTCGTCACCTCGTCTTGTGATTACATGTTGGAGTTAAAAAAAAGAAAACATATTGTAAAATGAAAGAAATTTTAATTTATACTAAATATTCCAAAAAAGCTGGTCACTAACGAAAGCTAGTGGATGCTAGCTGAAACGTCTGACCGTTTCCAAAATCATATCCAGTTGCTTGAGTAACTGCTTTTTGGCGTATCGTATTACCTGGATGTCTAACCTTCATTGACGTATTCTAAATATTAATGAATGAAATCCGTATCTATGTGTATCTTCGTACAATGTGTGGCTGCAACAATACTGCAAGATTAATCTATCCTACAAATATCATCGATTATGTGTATTATTATCATCATTTATGGAATAAAATACAAAGAAACTGACCTATTTATGCAAATATAGGATCCGGTGTTGAGTATAATAACTGTACATGAAATATATTGGTCTCTTTCTTGCACAAGACAATATGCCTGTACAACGAGTATTCGCAGTAAGACTCTTAGGACTCTCTGGTCTTTACTTTAGTGCCCATGTGGGGATTTTTGTAATGTTTTTGTTAGCGTGTTTGTATATGTATTGTAATATTAGTTTGTATTTGCCAGACAAGTAACTGTAAAAAATCAGTGTTATTCAGCATGTTTTTTAAATAAACTGTTAAACTATATATCAGATAGACTAAGGCGAGTCCTAGTGGCAAAATCTGTATCAGTCATTCTTTCTCTTCCTCATAGTATCAAATGGCAAATAAAAAAAATCTAGTTGTAAAATGAAATATTATTCAATATCTTCACTTCCTGCCCCCTGTCCCAGATTTATTACATATTTGTCTGCGGCTAGTTATTAATATTCATAGATTGACCACCAGGATTTCCGGTAGTAGAAATGGATGTTGTTCTTTGTTGTGTTTTGTTTGGCTGGTTTGGATTTTAGCTCTTTGCTTTCTTTTGTTACCTCTGTGTGTACGTTGGCGGTCTCATTTGGGAGATCACGAATATGCAAATGAGTCGGGAGATCACAAATATGCAAATGAAGGGCACGTCGGGGACACTGACAGGACGTTAGGTCAAAGGTCCCAGAATAGATTTTCAAAGGTTATGTGATTTCTTGTCTTTTCTGCTATGTGCATGTCTGTTGCCTTATGGGAGCCTGTTGAAAAATGCGTAGACAGAATTAGCAAGAAATTTAAGATTTTGAATAGAAAAAAAAATTCACAAAAACATATATCACGGAGATATGAAATTTATTTCTTGAAATTATCATGAAAGTTCATCTGTGTTGGTAGTTACATGTTTAGAGTTAAAACTTTAGATGCAACACAAAAAGATCTCTCACATAGAGCTTTCGACCAGTCACTCTGGTCTTCCTCAGTAGACTGACCCAGTGAGGCTTGTCACGTGGCTTCTTTGAAGTGTGACGTCAACACTGGGTCAGGTAGACGATGTCGGCCCCCGTCACGGTTAAGTGAAGGGTGATGAGCCCTGATGTAAATAGCCTCCTTCACCCCTCTCAGGAAATAGTCTTGTTCAGTGTCCAAAATCACTTTGTTTCACTTGACACTGTAAGGATTTTGGACACTGAACAAGACTATTTCAGTCTACTGAGGAAGACCAGAGTGACTGGTCGAAAAGCTCTCGTCGAGAGAATTTTTGTGTTGGATCTAATATTTTAACTCTAAACAAATCTATTTCTTATTTATACCGGTGACATCCAGGCTTACGTGCTGAGAGTGACGTGGTCTGAGGGAAGTGAACACGTGATCTATCGGCGATTTTCCGTTGTACACGATTTCCACGTAAGTAAACCAAACATAGCTACGTTTTATTGTCGACCCCTCAGGGGCATACCTAAATGGCATGTAATTTTCATAACCGTTCAGTCAAGTTATGACGCTGACTTGCAGTCTCTCCAGCACATTGTACAGGGGAGCCAGAGTATACAGTGCAATTTTACGGAATACAGTGCAATCGTATTAGTATACAGTGTAATTTTACGGAATACAGTGCAATTTTACGGAATACAGTGCAATTTTACGGAATACAGTAAATTGTATTAGTATACAGTACAATTTTACGGAATACAGTGCAATCGTATTAGTATACAGTGCAATTGTACGGAATACAGTGCAATTTTACTAGTATACAGTGCAATTTTACGGAATACAGTGCAAGCGTATAAGTATACAGTGTAATTTTACTAGTAACATTGCACTGTATACCAGTAAAATTGCACTGTATACTAATACCATTGTATTGTACTGTATTCCGTAAAATTAAACTGTATACTCTGGCACCCACGAACAAGGTTTTGTCGATCTATATGTGCTTCTGACGGCTTCATACCAATACCCCTACAGAATGAGCTGGAAGAAATGTTCCCACTGGAGGCGGGTGTCATCGATGAGAAGGAGCGTATCCTTCCGCGTCTTCCCGGTAAATAGTGCCTGTGTGTATTTCTTTGTGTGGATGGTGTTCAGAACCAAGGACAGGTGTGTTTGTACGTGTGTGCACGTGGATGGTGTTCAGCACCAAGGACAGGTGTGTTTGTTAGTGCGTATGTGGATAGTGTTCAGCACCAAGGACAGGTGTGTTTTAGTGCGTATATGAATTGTGTATAGCATCAAGGACAGGTGTGCTTGCTAGTGCGTATGTGGATAGTGTTCAGCACCAAGGACAGGTGTGTTTACTAGTGCGTATGTGGATAGTGTTCAGCACCAAGGACAGGTGTGTTTGCTAGTGCGTATGTGGATAGTGTTCAGCACCAAGGACAGCTGTGTTTGCTAGTGCGTATGTGGATGGTATTCAGCACCAAGGACAGGTATATTTGCTAGTGTGCCTGTGGATAGTGTTCAGCACCAAGGACAGGTGTGTTTGCTAGTGCGTATGTGGATGGTATTCAGTACCAAGGACAGGTATATTTGCTAGTGTGCCTGTGGATAGTGTTCAGCACCAAGGACAGGTGTGTTTGCTAGTGCGTATGTGGATAGTTTTCAGCACCAAGGACAGGTGTGTTTGCTAGTGCGTATGTGGATAGTGTTCAGCACCAAGGACAGGTGTGTTTGCTAGTGTGTATGTGGATAGTGTTCAGCACCAAGGACAGGTGTGGTTTGCTAGTGCGTATGTGGATAGTGTTCAGTACCAAGGACAGGTGTGTTTGTTAGTATGTGGATAGTATTGAGCACCAAGGACAGGTGTGTTTGCTAGTGTGTATGTGGATAGTGTTCAGCACAGGACAGGTGTGTTTGCTAGTGCGTATGTGGATAGCGTTCAGTACCAAGGACAGGTGTGTTTGCTAGTGCGTATGCGGATAGTGTTCAGCACCAAGGACAGGTGTGTTTGCTAGTGCGTATGCGGATAGTGTTCAGCACCAAGGACAGGTGTGTTTGCTAGTGCGTATGTGGATAGTGTTCAGCACCAAGGACAGGTGTGTTTGCTAGTGCGTATGTGGATAGTGTTCAGCACCAAGGACAGGTGTGTTTGCTAGTGCGTATGTGGATAGTGTTCAGATTGTGTATTTGTAGGTAATTCCCTCACATGTGCTCACGCCCTTGCAGGAAGAATCCTGTTAGGAAGAACACGAACACAGAAAATCGCAGAGAAACGTCTTCTTCACGTCGGCAAATTCTGCAGGGTAAAAACAACATTTATTATGTCTACCGAAGGAAAACATATTATTTTTGCTACGTTTCCTCTTCTTCTTCCGTTCCAAACACTGACCTCTGACCTGGCCAATTACCTGATTTGTTGACGACTCTCACCATGGTAACCGTGACAGAATGATCGAAATGGCGATAGTGGTCACGTAGAGGAAGAAGAAGAACTGGTGTTGGGTTACGTAGTGTTGCAATTTTATAGTAGGGGGGATTTATACTCCTGTCTGACCATATTTATGAATGTATCTGAGTAAGAATTAACAGAACAGACCATATGCGAAGGTAAACATTATACATTTGCTTTGCAAATGTTACTTCTCTAGTTTTAATACCTGTTGAAGCCCTACACACAAAAATTGATCACACTCACTCTAGCTAGTGTGAGAGACAACAGCCGGGATTCGAACTCACAACCTCTTGGTCTATCCAGTGACCTACGCACGCTACAGTGTCTTCTTTCTCCCCGCATTATAGGAACTGATCGCCCTCCCACCGAGGATATCCAGATGTAAGTTCGTCCTGCGCTTCTTTGAAGCCAAAAGGGAAGACATCAATCCTCCTTCAGAAGAGTGAGTTTTGTTTTCATTTTTCAATGTTCCCTGTTCCCTGAGTTATGGTCAATATAAAGAGCATGTAAAGATTCTGTAAAGACCCTGTAAAGACTCTGTAACAATTGTAAAGCTAGGATAAATTCTGTAAGAATATGTAAAGATTCCGCAAAAAACTTAATGAAAAACTTTCTGCAAAGAACGTGTAAATTTCTACTATCCAAGCAGAGGTTTGGGTTTTTGGTTATTTTTGGCGTGTTTTTTAAAATACTTTTTTAATCGGGGTTTCTTATTTTGCACTAGAATTCTTCTTTCGGGTTGGGTGAAAGAAAAATTCCAGTATAAAAAATAAACCCCGATAAAAAAAGAGAGTAGTACAATTACAATTACCGGATACAGCTACATTCAGGCCAGACGTGCAAAAGGATTGCAGTGCTTATGAGAACTTTTGTCTCTCTCTCCTCTCTGTAGAGCATTGAAAAAGCCGGCCCTAAATCTGGCCCGTCTGTCAAGATGTCAGTCCAAACAGCAGGAGATCGTGGCTGACATCCCGGAGACAGAGGAGCCTCCCACGCCTATCGAGGTGTCCAGTCCGATGGCACTGGAACCCTACCGGACCATAGCCGCGTACGAGCGGCGCGGAGACAACGAGATCAGCTTCGAGGCAGGCCTGCAAGTAGACGTCATGGAAAAGAGTCGGAACGGTACGTACAGGCTTGAAATTTATTCTTACAATAGACCACAGCAAGTTCATTTTATGGATGACAGATTTCAAGTCTAATGCGAGCGGGCGAAAAAAACAACAAGGCGGGCCGAAAAAAACAAGGTTCCTACAATTTAAAATTTTGACTCAATCATTGTAAAAATGGTTTTGATTCAGTGGGAACATCACATATACACAGAATCATGTTGGGACAAGCCCTAAGTGACTTTTGCCTCACATCCTCTAAGCCAGCCAGCCATCACTTCCTTCCAACTTGACCTTATGTCAATCTGCGGTAACCAAATCCCCCCTTCCTGTCACTGCATTAAACTACCTACGAACACAAGCACAAAGAGCAAGCCTAAAACATAACCTTCTTACCTGGAGGTAATTAGAGCAACAACTAGCCAACGGAAGGCTTTTCAGCACCAAGGAGAGAGCTTTAACCACAAACAAGTATGTAACGTTACCCGTCACTTTTCAGCCGTTTTAAACGCTTACGCAAACGTTGTTTTGTACAGGATGGTGGTTTATCTGTATCGACGATGACCAGGGCTGGGCGCCTGCGTCACACCTGGAACCGCTCACTCTGTCCGTGGGGACCGAACAAGAGGGGAAGGCGGGGAACGGTGAGTAGTAAACATTGACCAAACACAAACATATCATTCAGGAGGGGAAGGCGGGGAACGGTGAGTAGTAAACACTGACGAAACACAAACATATCATTCAGGAGGGGAAGGCGGGGAACGGTGAGTAGTAAACACTGACGAAACACAAACATATCATTCAGGAGAGGAAGACGGGGAACGGTGAGTAGTAAAGATTGACGAAACACACACATATCATTCAGGAGTGGGGCGTATGTACAGCATTGCTAGGGAGCAAACACAAGACTAGAGAAGTAACATTTGCAAAGCAAATGCATAATGTTTACCTTCGGACATGGTCTACTCTGTTAATTCTTACTCATTGACACATTCACATACATGTACTACTAGTAAATGGTGTCAGGAGCAGAGTAGACCATGAAATTGCAACATAATGTAACCCAGCACCGGTCACCATGGTGACAGACATCAACAAATCATGTCATTGGTGAGGTCATAGGTCACTGTTTGGAAAAGAAGAAAAGTAAGAAACCGAGTAAAAACAATATGCTTTCCTTCGGTAAACATAAAATTTAAAGGATGGCTTAAAAGGTACAACATATTACGTTATACTTACTGAACATGTCAGTTGATTTGTGGTATTTTCTGATCTAGGTAAGAAGTATATAGCGACAAAAGAGTATCGCGCACAAGAGGAGGATGAAATAGACTTGGACAAAGGCACTGTAGTGGAGCTGCTGACGGAATATCAGGATGGGTGGTGGCTAGTCAGGTAGTACCCCGTCATTTTGATTTGATTTATTAAAATTGTACCAATACAATACACATGGGACAAAGACAGCTGTTGCTGGTGTTGTGTCCCGCACATAGAAATAAATACAGGGCAGACAATGTTCATTTTTACTTGAGTTAAGTGAGGAGTCGTGTAAAGTGCCTTTCCCAAGGGCACAAGATCGGTCACATGTCAGGACTTGAACCCGGGACCGCTTGATTCCGAGTCGAGCACTCTGTCGGGGACTTTGGGCGAAAAACAAGAAATTTTGTTGCCCTCTGACAGTGGTCAACATACCGAAAATGGACAAAGATGTCTGTTGCCATGCCTAAACGTGGATGGCAGATAAATATGATGAGAGAAGACAAGACAAGGCTCTGATTTATTGTTTTGTCTTTTACTCTGATTCAGTGATGTACTTCATTCATTTTTTGTGATGTTCCCACTGAATCAAAACCATTTGTACAATGATTGAAACCTTTATTCTTCAGTGACAATGGGTGTTGTAAAAGTTGGCAGTAAACTTAGCACAATATAACTGTATCATTTCTTGTTTAACAAGTTTGATAATGTCAAAATTTGAAAATATAGGAATTTTGTTTCTTTGGCCCGCCCTGTTTTTTTTTCGCCCTATCACATTAGATTTCTAATCTACGAAGAATGTCATCCATAAAATTTACTTACTGAGGCCTAACATATAGTATATATCTTTCCCACGGTAGGTACAACGGGAAGGAAGGCTACACACCCTGCGTGTTCCTCACGCCCCTAGCGGATCCCATCATAAATGTCAAGGTGTGGAAGAACCCCAACCGTCTGTCGCAGGCGCAGGGGGAGAAACAGGCCCTACTGTCAGAGGCGCCCAACCTCTCCGCCGGGACACCCACACAGCCAATAAGGTCTGGCAACAACTGCCTACAGTTTGTTCTAGTGCTTATCAATCCTACCTAAGGCCATATTAATTTGATTATATGAATTGATCCGCATACATGTATCACCCATCTATGGAGCTAGACTTTTATATATGGATCCTATATGTGTTTGCTTCAATTTGGTCATATTACAGTTGCTGTATCTGAACAGGAGAACAGACATTTTAGAAGAATTTGTGGTTTTCATGACCCTCAATATCAATGTCTAACTGTGGGGGAGGCTGTATGATGCAATTTAATCAGGTATTACACCACTACCTGACACAAGCATGTGATGGTTCAGGGTGACCTCCCTATCAATCAACAGTCAAAATCACCTCCCACCCCTCAAGTAACTCAGAAAATTGGGACAGAAAAACCCACGTCTTAGCCACTCAAAACAATACTTCCGTACCTGGAAATTATCAGTACCAGTTCAATGTCAATGCTCAAATTTCAACGTGCAATATTTCAAGAAGGGCTTATCAAAAGCAAGTACGAAATGTTACGAAAATTTCTTTTTGATATATCACAGGTCTACCCTTTATGGTCTGGAGGGATTACGTCACCAGCTGAGCGTTCTTACCCAGAATTCCACGGAGAACAGCATGACTGAAGAGGAACAGCCGAACACAGACCCTTCCGACGACTCCTTCGAGAGCGACTGGGGGGACGACTTCGGTAAGGCCATGTTGATTTGATTATATGGATGACATTCACTGAGATCCCCAAAACTGAAAAAAAGTTTGGCCAAAAAAGAGTTGCTTTCATTATGAAATCTACGTGGTTTTGAAGGTTGAACAAATGACACAGAATATGGTATGGCGAATAATCTAGTCTTCAAATTCATTTTTTTTTACATTTTCGTCTTTTTCATTTGATTTTGGCATTCTATGACATTGGTATCGTATGGTATTGGTATGCTTATTTTTGCAACTGTTTTGTATGATCTACAGTGTGGTGGAAAACTTTTTTAACGGCCAAAAATTCATGCGCGCGCGGATGTCATCCATATACTAATACGATTGTACTGTATTCCGTAAAATCACTGTATTCCGCAAAATTGCACTGTATACCGTAAAATTGCACTGTATATTCTAGTACCTCTGTCCATTCAGACCTCTTTCAACTAAACTTAGTCCCAATGTTGCCCTTGTCTCCGGCAGACGCCACGGACTCGGAGTCGGCCGAGCCGGAACAGTACCGAGCCATCGCCGCCTACCAGTCCTCGGACGAGACGGAGATCAGCCTGGAGGCCGGGGACACCGTGGACGTCATCAAGAAAAATGAAAACGGTGCAGATTTCAATATTTGTTTAGAGTTCAAACTTCAAAGATCCAACACAAAAAGTTCTCTTACCTAGAGCTTTCGACCAGTTACTCTGGTCTTCCTCAGTAGACTGACCCAGTGAAGATTTACACGTTGCTTCTTTGAAGTGTGACGTCAAAACTGAGTCAAAGGTGTCTTGTAGACGATGTCGGCCCCCGTCGCGGTTCAGTGAAGGGAGATGGGCCCTGATGTATATATGGCCTCCTTCACCCCTTTCAGGAAATAGTTTTGTTCAGTGTCCAATATTTCAATTGTCCATTATTTACTAGCTACCAACGACGCCTGTCGCATTTATCTACAATTATATATATAGCAAATTATGTTCTACTTCGATGTGATATTATTCGAAGGATAACATCGCATTCCTTCATACAATATTGCTGCTTGTATATGTCACAGGGGAGATTGGAATCCAGGGGGATCCGGAATCCTCCTAGGGGAGATTGGAATCCCTATCTCCCCTAGTGGAATCCCTATCTCCCCTAGGAGAATCTGGAATCCTCCTAGGGGAGATAGGGATTCCAGTCTCCCCTAGGGGAGACTGGAATCCTCCTAGGAAAGAGTGGAATCCTGATATTCAGATCCCAATTCATCTTGTATTTAACCTCTTTGGTAGAAGAAATACCCGCATCGCCCTCGGTCCCGGCCCTCCCGCGAGTCGGATCGCCCTCCGGCCTGCGGCCGTCGGGCGATCCGACCCGCGGTCGGGCCGATACCTCGAGCGATACGGAATACCCCGTGTTGTATTCTATATATATATAAATATTCTTGTATGTTCATCAGGTTGGTGGTACGTGACATGTAAGGGTCAGTCTGGCTGGGCTCCGGCCTCTTACTTAGAACCAGTGGACCACTGCCCAGAAAAGGACGAAATAGCACTGGGAGAAGGTAACTAATTAATATTTCTTGTCTCCTTACAAGTTTCACTGTATCAGCTCAGGGCAGCTGCAGTTTGAAAGTAAACCGGTAGATAGCGTGCATAACTGTCAATCTTCAACATAAAGCTTGACTTTGGTTCGTTGAAACCTGACCACAGGGGAGCGGTACATCAGCAAGTTTGACTACCACGCCGAGAACGAAGACGAGGTGGATTTCGAGCGGGGAGAGACTCTTGTGGTCCTGCGGAAATACCTGGACGGCTGGTGGCTTGTCAAGTACGTTATTCTTTCTGTAAATAATTTCATCAGGTTGGTAAACGAATGAATATCAAAGTTCTTTGATCACAACCATTTATTTTTTTTACGAGCCGACGTTTCGATGACCGTCTGTCATCTTCATCAGGGCAATTCTGACTGGTTTACTGTGCACTGACGCTAGATGTTACTTGGTGCATAGTGCGAATCCAGTCAGAATTGCCCTGATGAAGATGACTGACGGTCATCAAAACGTAAAATAAATGGTTATGATCAATTCATACGTTATTCTTTCCAGTACGAAAACAAGAAATCGGAAACTTATTTTCGGTTTCCGTAACCTTCAACTTTACTCCAATTTCCTGTGTCGGACCTTTTGACCTCCGGTTATCCTGCCTGTCAATCTTCCCCAACCACAAGCTGTCAACCAACAGACGCACAAACCTACACCTCAGCCACCCAAAACAATACTTCCGTACTGTTCATGCTAATTCGAATACTGACCCTTCCACCAACGTTCCACTCATACACTTCATGTTTGATCAATGGCAATATCTGTACCCTACATATTTACAGGTTTAATGACAAGGAAGGGTTCGCACCGTCCACCTACCTGGCGAAAGAGGACGTAGGTCAGAGTCAGGAGTATCCTTATGGAGGACCTGCGGTGAGATAACCTTTTCTGGGACCTTTTACCTAAGTTCCTATCAGTATTTCCGACGTTTCTAGTATTTGGAAACAACTACTAACTATGTGGAAACATAAGCAAACACACAATATAACGAATATAAGCATCTATTTTACACATACTGTTCTGATTATAACTTAAATTTTTCTTTGTTTTATATAAGGAGGGAACAAATGCACAGACGAGCGACGAAGAAACACAGATTGCAGAGAAAGCCCCTCCACCCAGACGGTAAGAGTTGGCTTTCATAGATAACATATTGTTGTGACGGGTGCTAATATAGACCGATCCTGACTGTCCATCACAATCAGCAGTTCAACCAATGATAGCATGGCAATTAGTAATTGGACCAATGAGAGAGCTCCTGCATGTTGTACAACTATTTTATTTTCATGTTGCACACCTGCCATAGGGCAACTGCATTTTCTTTACCAGACACAAGAGGGCGCTTTTTTACCGTGTCTGCAGGTGCACGATATCTGTGGCTGACTCCATGTACCCGTCGTTCCGCCGTGTGGCGCTGGAGAGGGTGAAGAGCGGGGAGTGCGGGAGCCCGTCACCGGAAGACAACGCAGCCGTTTCATCCTGTTTAGGTCCGCCTGAAAAGTCGTTTGGGCTGTTCCAATTTTAATTTTTTAGGGGTGATCGGATATAGAAAACATTTCAGTCTAGTTGTTCGCCATTTCTAATGGTATTGCTGCTGATCCAAGACTCTTTTGCCAATGATTTAAAGTTTTTCTTCAGAAAACAAAAATGAAAATGTTTTTTCCCCGGGAATTTTGCAGGTGATAACTGGCAGTTGAAGAGCCGAGATCCCCGTGACATCCTGATGCGCAACCTGCCTCCCCCTCCGGCAGAGGGTGGTAGCATCCACGGTGCAAAGACAACCTTGAAGAGAATGACGTCAGCTGAAGAAGGTATGATTGGTTGAATCTGAACTAATTAAATTTGAACAAGAACAGTGTGATTTAAACAATTCAACGACATGTACCCTAGGTGGCATAATCTATGTATGGCGATATAGCCCCAACCTAATAACCAACAAACGTGTGTCACAAATGTAGAAACTTCAATGTTCGACAAATTTTGGAGCGATCAAAATACGCCCCCCCCCCCGAGGCGTTGCCAAAAACGATGGTGTTGTGGTAGCTTCAGGCTCAGGCCAGTACAATGTTCAGGTCTGTACAGTATAGGGGGACAGTAACTGAAACAAGAAAGATTTGCAAAAAGAACACCTCGGCGACGTTTGCCCTAAGTTGCATTTAAGTTTTATGTACTATGAGGATTATAACCTCATCCTACATGACGTATGTCAAAGGCATTCGTAATTCTTAAAGTTTCTTGTGATGAAAAGATCGTTCTTGTTGATTTCAGAAGCGAGACGAAGGAACCTAGACACGGAAACGTACCGGGCTGTTGGTGCTTATGAGAAAACGTGCGAGAAAGAAGTCAGCTTCACTTCGGGCGCCACAGTGCACGTCATCCACAAAAATGAAAACGGTTAGTAACATCTCAATCTCAAACAATAGATCATTGATTTCATTTTTGTCATTATCGTAAGGATTCTTATCATTTGTAGAGTTAACACTTTAAATCCAACACATTGGGTCGTGTGGCGTAGCGGCAGAGTACGCGACTCGGAACTTAGAGTCCCGGTTCGAGTCCTGACATGCCACCGATCTTGTGCCCTTGGGAAAGGCACTTTACACGGCTTTCCTCACTTAGCTCAGGTGTAAATGAGTATTGTCCTGTCATGTATTTGTCCCCTGTGTTGGTGGCGGCATTAATATAAGTTGAAAAAAAAATTGAGTGTGCCGTCACCACGTCTGGTGATTACACGTTGGAATAAAAAAAAATCCAACACAAACATTTCTCTCACCTAGAGCTTTCGACCAGTCACTCTGGTCTTCCTCAGTAGACTGACCCAGTAAGGCTTGTCACGTGGCTTCTTTGAAGTGTGACGTCAACACTGGGTTAAAGCCACGTGACCAATCTCACTGGGTCAGTCTACTGAGGAAGACCAGAGTGACTGGTGGAAAGTTCTAGGTGAGAGAACTTTTTGTGTTGGATCTAAGATAACTACCAACACAGATGAAGTTTCATTATAATATGATATCTGTACCATACCTCTATCTATATCTGTATACATGTACTTGTTGTCAATCCGAATCTAATGCAGTATTTTCCCGGCCGCTAGGGTGGTGGTACGTGTGGATCGGTAAAGACGAGGGCTGGGCGCCGGGGTCGTACCTGGAGCCGATCGACCACGACCCGCAGAGGGACACGGTCTTCATGGAGGGGCGCTCCTCCGCCTACATCACCACGCATGCGTACTCCCCACAGATGGAGGACGAGCTGCACTTCGAGAAGGGTCAAAGGGTAGAGGTCATCATGAAGAACTTGGACGGCTGGTGGCTTGTGAGGTCAGTAGATACAACGACTTTATTCATGATTTTCACACTTCCCATAATGTCTAGTAAAGATCACGGATATGACGTAAGAAGCGGATACACATAATGCAACCGTGCGAGTAGGAGAGTTTTCGGTAGAAGGTGGAACGATAGAAGGTACGTCATTTTCTCTAATTCCAACAAAAAATGCAATTATGGTATGCGCTTTATACTAGATAAATAATTCAAAACAATAGTTGATCAGTTTGTCGATAGAACTTGTTGCAAAAATTACATCGAGGAAGGGGGAGGGGGTGGTCATACGTCATATCTGTGATCTTTACTAGGCATTATAGGAAGTGTGAAAGTCATGAATAATAGCCTTGAATGTTTGATTATAGGTTTTCGTTAGAAAAAACTATTTTGTTTTCGTCTGCGTCCATGGGTGCTGTCATGTTGGATTTGACGTCATGCAGGTGCCATTTTGTTTAAGGCTGGAATGTTACGTAATTTTTTTAATAAGGGTTACAAGTAGAATGCGTAATGGTTAGCATTTGATGCATGATGGGAAGGGGCTGTGCCTTGCTCTGCGTTTTGCCTAAAGACGACATGACAATGTATTTTTATACGTGAAATCAGAATCAGCGTGTTGATGTAGTCTTCTTTGTAAATGTCACCCAGGAGTCGACCAATGATTGCCTTCGGAAATTAAGTTTGATATATACCATGGTTAGATTTTTACATCCACTTAGTGCAAATGCACATTTTATTATATGTTCTCTTTAAGAGAATACAGCTATACCCATTTGCGTCTAAAGTATAGCGTGAAAAACAAGACTTGTACAACTAGAGAAGTAACATTTACAAAGCAAATGCATAATGCTTACCTTCGGACATGGCCTGCTCTGTTAATTCTTACTCAAACACATTTACTTACATGCACTACTAGTATATGGTGACAGAAGCAGAGCAGACCATGAAATTGCAACATTATGTAACCCAACAGCAGTCACCATGGTGACAGACGTCAACAAATCATGTCATTGGTCAGGTCAGAGGTCACTGTTGGAGAAGAAGAAGAAGAGGAAGAAATGGAGCAAAAACAATATGTTTTCCTTTGGTAAAAATAGCAATTGTCTGTTTCTCACAGTATCGCCGAGAAGCAAGGCTTTGCCCCTGCCACCTACCTGAAGAAGGTGAATAAGGTGTCCCGCCGGTATAAGAAGGACGTGAGACGGCCCAGCTCCACGTCCAGCAGTAGTCAGGAGGAGGAGATGAAGGCCCTGGGGCTACACGATATCAGCTTCATCCTACCGGAGCAGCTCGAGCATGCAGCGCCTCCCAGAAGGTACTGAACGTTGTTTAGACCATTCTGGCTCAGGGATGCAATTTTACGGAATACAATGCAATTTTACGGAATACAGTGCAATTTTACGGAATACAGTGCAATTTTACGGAATACAGTGCACTTTTACGGAATACAGTGCAATTTTACTAGTATACAGTGCAATTTTACGGAATACAGTGCAATTTTACGGAATACAGTGCAATTTTACGGAATACAGTGCAATTTTACTATTATACAGTGCAATTTTACGGAATACAGTACAATGGTATTAGTATACAGTGCAATTTTACGGAATACTGTGCAATTTTACTAGTATACAGTGCAATTTTACGGAATACAGTACAATGGTATTAGTATACAGTGCAATTTTACGGAATACTGTGCAATTTTACGTACTGGTAAAATTGCACTGTATAATAATACGATTGTATTCCGCAAAATTACACTGTATACTAGTAAAAATTGCACTGTATTCCGTATTGCACTGTATACTCTGGCACCCTTGTTAAAGAAAAGGCTCTGTAGACTAGGTAGTGTATGCAACAGAAATTGAAATGTCTTGTGACTGTATGTAAGTCTAAAGAACCATGTTCTGTCTGCAGATGTTCCATCATGGAGGTAGACGGTCGTCACAAGAAGCCATCCAACCGCCGCTCGGGGGTCAGGTCTCTCTTCATACAGGACCCGATCCCGGAAGATCCAGATCAAACAGATCAAATCCCACCCAATACTTGATCCTATTTAGGCCCCTTGAGATAAGGCCATACCAATTTAATTTGTTGGTTCTCAGATTTTTTCAGAAATATATGAAGCGACAGGGCGAAAAAAATAAAAATAAAACAGATCTAGGCATCCTATTATAGCCCCAAATGCTACAATAGGAGCCATGAAGCCAACACAAGAGGCTGGGTTAATATTTAAACTATGAATTTTGAACTTTTAATCAAACCATTGCATTGATAAATGGAAAAACTGTAGCAACTAGGAACAAAAGGACTTTCCTCGGCTGTTGGGGGCAAAATATGAGCATATTTGAGTTATTTTTTTTTGCAAATCAGAAAAAAAAGAAGAGGCGAATCCGAGAACCAACAAATTAAATTGATGTGGCCTAAAGATAAATCCAGAATCAATATTAAACCTAGAGTATCCGTGAGCTTTGACAACTCTTACTCAGTACTGGATCCCTGTCAACACGCAATCAGGATCCCACTCAATACTAGATCCCGGAAAACCTGTGATCCAGATCAAATCTCAGTCAGTACTAGATCCCTGTCAGCCCGTGATCATCATCAAATCCTCATTAATACTAGATCCCTGTCAACACGTGATCCAGATCAAATCTCAGCTCAATACTATAGATCCCAGAGGATCCGTGATCACGGTTAAATCTCACTCAATACTATAGATCCCGGAGAATCCGTGATCATGGTTATAGATCCCAGAGGGTCCGTGATCATGATTAAATCCCACTCGATACTATAGATTCCGGAGAATCCGTGATCATGGTTATAGATCCCAAAGGATCCGTGATCATGATTAAATCTTTCTCAATACTATAGATCCCAGAGGATCCTAAGAGGATCTGTGATCATGGTTAAATCTCACTCAATACAATATCCCTGTCAATGCGTGATCTTGATCAAAGTTCTCTCAGTTTTAGATCCCTATGTGATCAAGATCAAATCCCAATGCCAGATCCCTATCGACACGAGATCATGATCAGATCGCACTCTAAATGGCTATATTGTAACCGGAATAATGATAGACATTTAGGCTAAGCTAATGTCCGTGTAAACAACTTCTAACAAGTCCAAGGGCATCAAGATATGTATAGCACAAACATATGTATAGCACAAACGCACAAAACTCAATCAAAAAGCTTGATGCAAATGTGTTTGCAGCGGAAGGTCCTGCGCATAGTGTTGCACCTTAGGCCATGTTGATTTGATTATATGGATGACATCCTCTGGGAACCCTAAAACTGATACGAGCGTGCGAATAAAAAAAGTTTGGAAAAAAAAGTTGCTTTCATTATGAAATTTTACGACATTGGTATCGTTTTCCAATGTTTTTTTTCAACCTAGGGTATACATTTGCTCATTTTGCAACTGTTTTGTACAATTTACAGTAAGGTTGAAAACTTTTTTTGGAAACGGCCGAAAATTCATGCACGCGCGGATGTCATTCATATAATCACATCAACATGACCTTATGGACTTGAAACAGTTCTTGTAGCATGTAGCAATATAACTGGCACTGTATCAGTTTCAATTTAGTAGACAGGTTCTAAGCAAGACAGCTTGCGAAACTCTTCTGTGACAAGTATTTTGAAGACAAATTTGACCAAAACAAAATTGTGAACTATTATGATTACATTGACATACATTCCACAGTAAAAATTTTAGCATGGCACTACAAAATGCATCATTGCAGTCCAGTAGATCACTCTTACCCTCCCCTGAGTGTATAGTGATCGAGCCCTGGGGTCACAGAAAGTAGGGCACCCCGGCAGCCACAATGTCCCAAGGGTTTCCAGGGACTGTGGGTAGCAAAAAATGCCAGAGTTTTGAGACATCCCTGAGAGCACGTTCCTGTACAATTCCTAGAATTCTTGCAGTCTGCACAAAATACTGCACCATTAGGCTCGCCCATGAGGCGTCGCCAAAAAGGATGTACCTGTACATATAACGTTGGTTGATAGCAGATTATACTATATATACCACCGCCTGCTCACAACTGGAAATCAAGTATGTACAGATGTGTATATCTAGTTCTATTGAGGTATTATCATGGTTCGTCAGGGAAAGTGCCTGAAATGTTCCTAAGATGATATGAATATTTGATATTGGTATCCTAAGATTCTTAAGTGCTTAACTTGGAAATAAAATCGGACTGAAAACAATACGATTACTGCAAAACTTATTTGCGTAATTCTCAAAATATGATGAATTAGGCCACAGCAAGTAATATTTATGGATGACATCAGCGCGCGCATAAATTTACGCCTGATTTGGGGGAAAAACAAGAAATTTTGTTGCCTTTTGACAGTGGTCAACATGCCGAAAATGGGCAAAGATGTCTGTTGCCATGCTGGAAGGTGGATGGCAGATAATATGAAGAGAGGAGACAAGAAAAGGCTCTGATTTAATGTTTTGTTTCTTACTTTGATGCAGTGATATGTGATGTTGGCTGTGTATATGTGATGTTCCCACTGAATAAAAACAATTTGTACAATGATTAAGTCAAAGTTTAAAATGTAAGAACCTTAAGTTGTTTTTTTCGGCCCGTCTTGTTTTTTTCCGCCCGCTCGCATTAGATTTGGAGTCTGCGGTGGATGTCATCCATAAAATTTACTTGCTGTGGCCTTACCTTTTTCACATCAATGTACGGATGTTTTGTTTTGTTTTGGTGTGTGTGTTTGTATCTTTGCATCAGTTTCCGTAGTTTTCTGCATGCTAAATAAGCACGCCGGGAACACTGACAGGAAGCTAGGTCAAAGGTCCAAGAAACGTCCCAGAAAAAGATATCTCATTTCCTATCCTCAAATTCTTGCTACATGCATGTCTGTTACCTCATATGGGAGTCAGAGGGAAAACATATCGACAGAATTCATCTAGCAAAAAAGTAAAATCTTGAATAAAACCAAGAAATTCCTCCCAAACCTTGAAAGCTTCTTGTTTTGGGATGTTTGTTGACGTTACTAAAGAGCTCTTTACTGATATAATTAGGTGAAATGTAGGTCACGTTTGAAACCAAAGCAAGGATTAACAAAAAGAAAAACCGCGAGGGACGGTGTCAGCTGTCAATGCATCAAGCCTTCATCGGGATCATCTCAAAAGATAAGCCGCTCTTCCTCGAAGATTTGACGATACATGAGTGAGAACAGCACATAATCGGATTAAAACTGATAATTCAGATACACGCCAAAATATTGCAAGACGAGCTACTAGATAACGCGCTGACGACTTATACGGTGTTCGTCACTGTTTTGAAAAACAAGCACCACACTAACCTGGTATCGTGGTTGGGGCAGGCTGTCTTCGGGGCTTTAATAGTTTTCCCCCGCCCAGTACAACAGACCGCCCGGTAGGAGATAGGCCTAGCGCCTATAGGAGCTTTGCCGTGATGGGCCTGATCAAACTCCCGCCGTGAAAAACCTACCGGGGGAACCTAGCTGAGTTGGGCGGGGAATAGCTCCTGCAGCCCCGAAGAAAACCCGTCCAACCACGATAGACTGGATACCAGGTTAGCACCACACCTACCATCCTTATGAAAAGATTTCTTTTGAAACCACCTGTTGAGCTGATGGCACGATCCCCGTACGTAGCTCTTTATACGCTCCAATGCATGAGTGTAGATGGGAGATACAAAACGGTTCATTTAACTGGCAGTGACAGAAAGGCCGGGTGTTTGAGGTAAAGGTGATCACCTAAGGGCAACATTTCATCATGTATTTTGAGAGGTGTAAAATGCTGTCAGGTGGGGGGATAGTGATACTATTTCTCCTGAACGTTCTGATGAGTTACACGGTGTGGAAAGACCGTTACACGTTTGTTCAGCAACCCGTTCGTAGGAGCCCTCGACTCGGCGACTATCCACACACACCACGAAGGTATGTAACGGCCCGGCCGCATTCTTGTTGTACGATTGCCGTAAGAACTGAGGGTATATTTCTTGTGATTGTCGTGCATATGTCGTATATACATGTATGTATATACAAAATTAGGCTGTCTTCTTACCGAAATGGCTAGCTTAGTAGGCCTTTCTACGGGAATACGGATCGTAGAATTCGGCAAAAAAGAGAGTAATATTGGCCAAGGGAGTCCGGCCGCGGGGAGGTATAGTAGTTTCTTTCCCAGTCAAACCTACAAGGCGGCCAAACTCCCCTGGCAAATATTCTCCTATATATATCCAGCGTAGTTAGTCTGGTAGAGACTACCAGCTTAGATTCTTAAGCTTGTTGGCTGTCCATTCTCTTACAACTTGCTTGAAAATTCTACATCAAAATTATACGACGGCCTACCATGAAAATATGTAACCGTGCCATATGTTGTCTTTTACTCAACTAGTACATGTAACAAAGTGATATGAATTCTACATTTTGGTTAGCCTCTGTAGCAGGCTTATAGAACTGAGGGTTTGGTGGTCTTCGGCTGTTTTCTGCTTAGCCCAGTTAAAAAAAACGGGGGTAATTCAACCAGGCCGGCTATGTTTTCTATATGCAATCAGAAAATAGCACATAACAGCTCCCAAAGACCCTGAAGACCCCCAGTTTTTGGCATGCTATGGAGGCTACATTTTGGTACAGGTCGGGGATAGATACTTGAATACAAGTGGTCAGTTGGGCAATGGCGCGTGTCGGTGGTCAGTGTGTGCCTAACCTAATTCCACTGGCCTGAATCACATTCACTGACCACTCAGAGCTGACCACTCTTCCCTTCAAAAACACCACTAGTCTAGATGGGCATCTGTTGACTTACGGTATTCAGTGCAGTTTTGAAGGCTCGGAAACCCGATTTTTCAAAGCCAATATTCTAGTCATTTATCTACGTACTGAGTTTAAACCACACTGTCCCAATGTATATTGACCCTCATGGAGCAAACATTTCCCAAAATTCTGACGGAAAATGGTTACTGAAAGGGCCCTTGGCTGATTTTTAGGGTACCGACCAGAAGATAAAGGACTCATCTCGGGGCTTGCTTTTGCAGTTTTAAATGCCCAAAGTATGAAATACTGATTTCAATGTGTTAATGTGAAGCAGTATGTGTCAATATCATAAAGATTGCCTTGTTCAGAATATTTTCAGTTTTGCTGCTCTGAAATCGCATTGGATGCCTTTAACGACTTCCAATGCGATTTTAGGGCGCCAAAACTGGATTTTTTTCAAAGCCAACTCTCTGCCCATTTTTCAAATGTAGTAAGTTGAATCAACTCTAACCCATAGCATACGAATACCTGTGAGCCGAAAATGCGATGTCACAGGCGAAAAACGGTTGCTTGTTTCGCATCATAGGCTGGATCTATCTATTTATTGGTGGTACCAAAAATAAAAGGACTCCTCACGAAGCTTGTTTTTGTGTGTGTGTGTGGGGGGGGGGGTTCAAATGCCTTCAAGAAATGATGACAAAAATGTGCTCTGGCTACAGTAAATGTCAATACAGTTTTCCTCATCCAGAACATATTTGTGTTTTGCCGCCCTGAAATTCCGGTTGTTAAAAACATTTTGGCTGATTATTTTCGCTAATGAACCACGCACGATGCATCTGTTCATTGAGAAAATTCAATTTCCGCGACTGGGTGGCCCATCCCGTTGTGTTGAAAAGCCTGAGTCATGTTCTTGTCTAAACAACATGACAGGCGTAATTCCTCTGGGCTTTTCACACGTCTAGCCTCCTGTGCAGGCTCCAGGGCGGATGGCGGAATTTTGATACTGTAACAGCGTTTTGAAGAGTTTTCAAAGGCATCCAGTGCAGTTTTAGGGCTTGGAAACCCGAAATTTCTCAGTCAAAATTCTAGTCATTTATCTACATACTGAGTTAAAACCACACTATCCTAATGTATATTGACCTTCTTGGAACAAAAAGTCCCAAAATTGTGGCGGAAAATGGTTACAGGAAGGGCCCTGGGCTGATTTTTAGGGTGCCCCTCATAAAATAAAGGACTCATCCTGGGGCTTGTTTCTGCAGTTTTAAATGTCTTAAAAGTATGAGATGCTGATTGCAATGTGCTAATGTGAAGCAGTATGTGTCAATATCATGAAGATTGCCTTATTTAGAATATGTCCGGTTTTGCTGCTCTGAAATCGTATTAGATGCCTGTAAACGCGTTCTTTTAATAGCCGGCCATCCTACAACTAGCCGTGGATGGAATGGAACCTTCTCTCGCGGCTGGTTGTAGGATGGCCGGCTATTAAAATAACGCGTTAAAAACTCTTCAAAACGCTGTATCAAAATTCTCACCGCCCCGTACGCGTAGCCTGCACAGGAGGCTATGTCACACCATGGATGGTGCGATGTCACCTATTGTTACGCCTGATATGCCTGAACGGCGGTGTCCTTGCGGCTGTTACACCTTTTTTATTAAAAATGGGATACGCCCAAGCAATTGTGACCGTATGCGCAATAGATTTCTTATGATAAATGCATTAAATATTAATTGTACTCCAAGTAAAAGATAAATTCTAATACAAATGCTCTCTCTATATATACGTCAGAGGATAGATTGTGGTCTGACAGAATCGCCAGTTCTTCCAGTAGAAATGGAAATCGGAGACTCCAATCCTGATGCTAGGAGTGTGTTCAATTCTCCCATTTATAAATCCAAAATTTAAAGTCAACTCGTTGATCTATATCTCGATCTGTATCTCTAACTCTATGCCCTAACATATATTTTTTACTTCAGGGTACGGAAATATTGTTTTGGGTGCACGTGGCTGAGCTGTAGGTTTGTGTATCTGTTCGACTGGACAGACTAGGTTGATAGCACGTTGGTGGTGGGGGAAAGATTGACAGGCAACATGACAGACAGAGGGTCAAAAAGGTCGGACACAGAAAATGGGGGCGAGCTTTAAGGTCACGAAACCCCAGGATGCCCCGGAAGTCTGAAATGTCTGATTTGACCACCGTGTCATGATGAATGACCTGATTTGTTGACGTCTGTCACCATGGTAACTGGTGTTGGGTTACATCATGTTGCAATTTCATAGCAGGGGGGATTTAGACTCCTGCCTGACCATACATATGAATGTATTTGGGTAAGAATTAAAAGAGCAGACCATATGCGAAGGTAAACATTATACATTTGCTTTGCAAATGTTACCTTTCTTGTTGATCTTTTTTTGTTTATTTGTTTATTTGTTGATCTTTTTTCCCAGTGCCAAGGGTGTTGTAGGTGTTGCTATAACGACAGCAAAGCAGTCCAGTAACCTACGCAATATCAAGATTGAACAGGCGATCTTCCTTACCGGAAAAATGTCCTTGGGAAATCTAACCAACATCGTACCTCCAAACAAAACTGCCAAAATAGCCCCAGTGCCTAAGAGAAAAGTAAAACGGATAGTGAAGGTGATCAAAAAAGTACGTAAGAAAAAGCGGAAGACTCCTGAGTTACCAAAAAAGGAGGCGAGCGACGACAAAAGGAAAGAAACGGATGCGCCGAATTTGCATAAACTTTCTGATAGCCTTGATAAAACGGTACTTAACAAATCTATTGCGGAAGAAAGACCGCCAGTGGTATCATTAATACGTGCCGAAAATGCTACAAATAATACTTCTTCTGCGCCGTCCAATGTGGTGAAAAAGATTCCAGATGTATCAACAAATTTTACCAAACCTGAGACGGTACAACAAGCACCACCTCCGAAGAAGAGAATAAGGAAAGTTGTCCGAGTCGTCAAACGTGTTAGGAAGCCGAAACCAGTTGTCCCGGGACAGAAACCAGAGTTGGCTTACCTCACAGAGACATTCACAGCACTCAACAGTTCAACACTCAAGCCGGGATACTACAACAGCACGGAGGTGGAAAAAATGAGGTTAGTTTCATCTTTCAGTGCATCATAGTTATGTACATACAGGTACAGTAGAGTTATAGTATAGGAGGTGAGGGGGATATGATGTAACCGCAGATTGACAGGAAGGTCGAATTGGAGGTCAAAATGGTCTCCACAGAATCCGCGAGAAAGTCATGATAAAATATGAATAAAATAAGTAATTCACAATAACTTGATTTCATGTTGTAGGCTGAATTGAACTAAAATGATATGTACGTTTTTTAATGTTTAATGTTACAGTATAAGACTGGGATAGAATCTTGAATCTTGCTAACAGACTTATGTTCTTTACGTTCTAGAAAACACATCTTGAAGTTCTACAACCCAGAAAAACACTTGACAATGACCACGTCGAACCTGCAAGTTGGCCAGCACGTTAAATACGAAATTCCAACGAAAAGTTACTTCAATGTCACCGAGAACTTTTACAAGGTCGTCCCAAAGGTGTCACCCCTAAAGGGCCGCCATTTTAACTCTTGCGCAGTCGTGGGGAATTCTGGGATTGTTCTAAACAGCAAATGCGGTCAAGAAATCGACTCCATGGATTTCGTTATAAGGTGTAATCTACCACCTACTTCGGGTTACGAAAAAGATGTGGGATCGAAATCAAACTTTACAACAATGAATCCGTCGGTGATCTCCGTGTATTATAGAAAATTTCTGAAGATTAAAAAGGACCACGAACGGTTGTTACGTCGACTGAGACAAATCGGGGACCAGATCTTGTACGTACCGGCGTTTACGAGCGGCGGTGGCAGGAATATGAACGAGGTCGCTGGGTTCATGCTGCAATATAATCTTCAGATCAAGACGGCGTTTCCGCCACCGGGCATCAACAATATCATCAGATCGTAAGTTTCTTTCTCTCTTTTTTATGTTTATCGAAGGAAAACATGCTGTTTTTGCTCAGTTTCTTCTTCTTCTTCTCCAACCAGTGACCTCTGACCTGACCAATGACATGATTAATTGACGTCTGTCACCATGGTGACTGGTGTTGGGTTACATAATGGTGCAATTTCAGGGTCTGCTCTGCTCCTGTCACCATATACTAGTAGTACATGTATGTTAATGTGTTTGAGTAAGAATTAACAGAGCAGACCATGTTCGAAGGTAAACATTATACATTTGCTTTGCAAATGTTACTTCTCTAGTTTTCATCATTTTAGTATGTACGCGTTTATGTAGAGGAAACTTTGTCATGTCATAAACGTGCTTGTATGTCCGTAGTTATCTAAATATAGTGAGGAAGTGAGGGTGAGGGCGAAAATGGTGTTACCGCAGATTGACGAGAAGGTCAAGTTGGAGGTCAAAATTGTTATTCTTTTAAAAGTTAGTTTATTACACGTTTCTGTGGATCAAACTTTGCCATATGATAAATTGTATTGCACGACAATTGTATAAGGTACAACTTATGGCATCTGATGTTATATACATGTATATATTAACAGCAACACTGTATGACACTGATCTATACATTTACCTTACAAAAGACTACGTAGTATGAAATAAGAATAATGCTTTTGCAATCATTGGTAGAATTTGTATACCACCAACATGCACATGTATTTGAATTTGCTGTTTGAAACAATTGAGAAAAATCTTGCAGATGATAGACTTGTATGTAAGGAATTACGACTAGTATCTAAATAGTGTGCTCAGCCTAATCTACTGTGGCCGATAGGTACATGTACGAAGGGGTGACGTAGGTAAAACAGGGGTGTTTGGCAGCTAAATCAAGGATTTCGCGCAGCTAAAGCAGGGATGTCGTGCAGCAAAAGTAGGGATTTCGTGCAGCAAAGGCAAGGGTGTCGCGTTGCCAAAGCAGGGGAATCGCGCAGGGTTTTAACAGGGGTCTAGAAACATGTAGCTGTCGGCCACCGTACGTATCCTTACGACTTTCTGTCCTAATATTTTTCAGAATCTGGAAAAATTCGCAGTTCAGACTCCGCCGTCCGTCCACGGGGGCCCACATGTACGCGCTGGCCGCTACCATGTGTGACAGGATCCACATGTATGGGTTTTACCCCTTCAGCACGGATCCGTACGGAACACCCCTCAGGTACCACTACTACGAGAACTCGAAGATGATCAAAGTCGCCACGCACAACATGCCGGAGGAGTTCAGGGCGTTGCAGATGCTCCACCAGCGGGGCGCACTGGTACTGCACACAGAGCCATGTCAGTGATTCGTGATTCGTGATGAGATAAACATGGAGGTCAAAATCTTGGAGGCTGGGAGAAAGAGACAGTGGAATATGCACAGAATCAGCGTAGATAATAAAGGGTTAATGCCCCAGCCCGAGGTGTATATGGTCAGATAATCCCTGGAGATGTGCGATAACCACCGAATAAACCACCAAGTGAGCGGAGCCAAAAAGTGCACTTTTGAGGTTACGGCCTGATAACCAATGACAAATGAAGCCTTCTGATTGGTCGACGCCTTCTGGCTATATGATAATACATTGTACCTAATGGCGAACAAAAGAAAAATTCACAACAACTCTAACCTACTTTACGGAGGTGTGGCATCCTCTACTTCTTGTTTGGAATAGGAATGAACAAAGGTCTAACTGTTGGCGTTGAACATAGCTGAAAGTCTCCGATTCATTATTGATACATGAGTAACTCTATACTCAGCACTGTTTAAATAAACCGTTTAGTACACCTATATTACTACAAATCCCTTTAACTTGTAACAGTCACGCTATCTCTATACGGTCAGTTGTGGACATAAGCTTACATGGCAGGTATGGGCATCTAACAACAACAAACCACTTGGCGAATTCATCCAGCGGCATTGGGAGCTGTATACACAGCTAGATCATCCGTGAATAGTGTCGTCAGGTTGGTAAGACACTGAGTAGAGAGACTCTTTTTCACACAACCAAGTCTTTTATTCAGCCGACGTTTCGGTGACTGTCTGTCACCTTCCTCAGGGCAATTCTGACTGGTTCACATGGCATTGCAGCACAGGTGTCGCTGCTACGGATGCATTCCCAAATGTACAATATTTATGCAAGGTGAACCAGTCAGAATTGCTCTGAGGAAGGTTACAGACGGTCACCGAAACGTCGGCTGAATAAAAGACTTGGTCGTGTAAAAAGAGTCTCTTCTCATAGCTAGATCATGTTTCGCGGCACCGTAACTAGGCTTGATTGAATTGAATTTCTTTACTAAGTTTAGGTATATTGATCCAGTGTAACATTTTATAACACATACACCACGCACACATAGCATGATATACAGAAGGACAGAACTTCTATTTTAGCTTCAGACATTTTTAACATTGCCGCTCTCTCATAGCCTCTACCAGGCTTCGGGAGGTGACTGGAAAGAGTAGAAATCGGCCAAATGGAGAGATAGCATGCCAAGGGAGTTTGGTCGGCTGGAGAGAACAGTTTGCCGAACAAACTCCAATTGCATGTTATCTCTCTATTTGGCCAATTTCTACTCTTTCCAGCCGCCTCCCGAAGCCTGGTAAAGGCTAGTTCTTTCACACAATGAAACATTTGCAAGTTGCAAACATCGCGTTAGAAACAAGTTTAAAACTTTAAATTAGCATTCTCAAGCAAAATATGTGTTAAGTGAAATTTGGGTAAATTATTGCATACAGACAAGAGAGGTGGCTCAACCAATCATTAAACATAAATTATTCAAATCAGGACATCATTTGCATAATTCATGAAATGCTAGAATAGCCTTTTTGTTAAGGTGAGACTGCCATTGGGTGGAAAGTATCATCAACTGATAAGATTCATGCAAATGAGGATCTTATTTGCATATTCAATGAGAAACATTTACACTTGGGGTCAGTCCGGGGTCAGTCGACGAGGTTAACATCATTTGGTGAAGGTATGTGATCGTGGAACTCTAGTTTTGTACATGGCATCAGATATCTAAATGCATCTTGTTCTGACATTTTGACCGTTGATATTAAAAAGGTCTATTTCTGTAATAATTAGAACTAGAGTTCCCCGATCTCATACCTTCGCCAAATGATGTTAATCTTTATGACTGACAAATTATAGATTAGATTATTCCCCCCTGATTTAAGAAATAGGAACCTAATTTTCATGAATTATATCATTTTATCATAATCTCAACCAAAAGACAGTCTTAACAAACAATGCATTCTAGCATTTCCTAATAAATTATGCAAATGAGGTCCTGATTTGAATAAATTATGTTTAATGATGTTCACCTCAACTAAACTTTCAAATACCACAAGTATGAAATTCCAGGCAGTTATCATTACATAATTATAAAACGTTCTCATTAATTATGCAAATTAAGTCATTATTTACATAATCAATATCTTCCTGTGTTTCTCTCGTTGTCAATTACCAATGTCACAAGCTTCAATTGTCCTATCATGGAATGCAGCTGATTTATAGAATTTCCCCATAAATTATGTAAATTACATCCATATTTGCATAATTGTCAGATAATTATATTAAACATCACGTAAGCTACCTACATACCAAAAATCACGACGATCCGTCAAACGGTTCTTGAGTTATCCCCTTTTGAATAATTTCAAGAATATATCCCTGCAGTTCCAGAGCAAGCCGCTAGGGGGCCCAAACTCTCGTCACTTCTTCCCCAGCACGATAGCTACCTACCATCCAAATTTCATCACCATAGCATGTCTAGATCATGAGATATCAAAACCGGAAGTTCAGCTGCAGTACCATAACAAGCCGCTTGGGGGCCCAAAATCTAATCATTTTGAGGTCTCATCAAGACCTACCCACCTACCAAGTATCAAAATAATCCATCAAGGCCTTCTCAAGTTATCGTGTTTACAGACAGACAGACACACACACACACACACATACACGAACGCCCCTGAAAACATAACCTTCTTGGCGAAGGTAATTAAATATTCATTGTAGTTAGTCTAAGGGCACAGCGCAAAACTGACTATCATGCAACAGTCATTCATTCAGGACAGCTCCCGTTATTAAATGTCGGTCACATACCGTATAAGACCGTCGTACGATATGGCATATGGGCTGTTGGCACCTCCTGTGATAGTTACCTCCATGAAAAATGGAGGTAATGTTTTTGGCGTGTCTCTCTCTCTCTCTCTCTGTGTTTGTGTGTCTGTCTGTCTGTGTGTGTGTTTGTGTTTCTGCACATTTGTAGTCAGCATAACTTTAGAACGCCTTTATGGATTATGATGATATTTGGTATGTTGGTAAGTCTTAGGAAGACAAAGGTCAAATATGGGCCTCCTGGTGGATGACCTTGGTACTGCAGCAGAACTTCCGGTTTATGTATCTTTTGTCCTGAACATGCTATGGTCTTGACTTTTTGGTGACAGATAGCTTTTCTTGTCAGGAATAAGTGGTGTGAGTTTGGTCCCCCTAGCAGCTTTTTCTGGAACTGCAGGACACTTTCTGGCGAAATCTTTAAAAGCCAATACGTCCAGGTAGAAACAACGTATTTTCATCGTTGTTGGTGTGTAGGTAGCTGAGAGAGAGTTGTACATAATAAAATGTCTCAGAATTCTTGTTGTACATGTGTCGTACAACATTTAGCTGTCTTGTCACAAAAAAGTCCGTTGTCGGTATACGGCTGGTCCACCGAGGTCCAACGACAAATATGTGATCGTGTTGGCATTCCTGTGATAGTTGTGCATGTGTCCGTTGTCGGTATACGGCTATAGCTAGTCCACCGAGGTCCACCGATGAATATGCGATCGCGCCTTATTTAAAGCTTTTAAGTAAAAGACAAAGGCACATCTGAAGTCATCTCGAATGAAAGAGCATGTTGAGGTAGAAGACAAAAGAGGCCCTTGATAGTAGACTTGACAAAGTAATCCTTATTTAAGTCTTCGTTATCCTTTTAATCTCTAATGCCCCTAGCCTCCCTAGCACTAGCAGGCTTATAAAACTGGGGGTTTGCCACCGTTTGGTGGTCTTCGGCTGTTTTCTGATTAGCCCCAAAAAACGGGGGTAATTCAACCAGGCCGGCTATGTTGTCTGTATGCAATCAGAAAATAGCACATAAAAGCTCCCAAAGACCCTGAAGACCCCACAAACTAGGGTATTTGGCATGCTAAATGCCCCAGGGCGCGCTTAAGTTCTAGCGGCCCGCCCAAATTCCGCTGCCCCTAGTGGGGACGGACCGTTGTGGCCCCGGAAAGCTGAGCTTATATTGTTTTAAGCCCACAGTCACGTATTCAGGACGTTTCCCCGACCTCGCCCCGGAACACCTGCCACCGGTACCTGTGGGTCGTGTCGCGTAGCGGCAGCGTGCTCGACACGGAACCAAGAGGTCCCGGGTTCGAGTCCTGACATGCCACCGATCTTGAGCCCATAGGGAAGACACTTTACACGACTTTCCTCACTTAACTCAAGTGAAAATGAGTATTGTCTTGTCTTCTATTCGTCCTCTGCGTTGGTGACGGCATAAGATAAGTTGATATAACTTGAGTGTGCTGTCACCATGTCTAGTCATGAAATGTTGGAATATAAAGAAACAAAAACATTTTGAAACATTCGATCGGATAGCGCACGAGAGCACGATAGCCAACCTCGCCGAACACTAGTCAACCACAGCTGACCTTGCTCCCAAACTACCCCTAAACATGGTTAGGGCGAGTTCGGCAGTGTTCGGAGGCCAAAGTCGGCTATGCGTGACAAAAACTACACAGACAAGATCAAGCGAGAATGCCTAAGAATTTCGAACATCAAAAGATTTTCAGGATACAGTTCTTTGAACAAAAAGCAACCATCTGCTGTCATGTACAGGTAACTCAGGTCATGGGTTACGTCCAATGCTTTAGATAAATAGACTAAAAGCTTACTGAATGAATGAAGACCTTTATTGTACACACATACCCACTAGGTTAAGTACAGGTCACAGTAAAAGGATGGTATACAGATAACGTTACATATATACATCGTCAAGTAACTACAATTAAGTAAATTCGGTTTCTTCACGTTTCTTAGAAATGACAAAAAAGGTAAGAACAGGTTTACCTTTGTGAATGACGTATGACTGTTGAGACGGTCCCTAACTATACGAAATCTAACCACGCGTGAACATATACATGTACATATAGCGAGAGAACACTGACCGGGTAGGGTACTATTTTGACTAGGCTATCGAAGGAAGCATTTTATCATGAGGAAAACGTGTAACATAGTAAGAATGTCCAGAAGAGGAGTGGTGCTTCTGTCTGTGTTCAATGTGGTCATGTTGTATATGGTTTGGCAGGAACGGTCTAAGTACGCAGAACTACGATCTCACCTTCTGGAGTCAGTCAGTGGCCTCCACGACACTCAATGGTAAGGGTGTGTTTGTTTGTTTGTTTGTTTGTTTATTTGTTTCGCATAACCGGTAAACCGCCTTGAGGCGTAACACACCAGTTTTGTACATGTACGTACATGTACAAGCCCGTTTTTAATTGGGGTATAACAAAATCAAAAAGGAGTGAAAACTAGACAAGAGCTGCGTAAGACCGGACTGTATTAAAGGTTTGAACCACTCACACCGGGAAGGTCCCCTACTCTTTTCGTAGGTGCGGTGGGTTCTTTAACGTGCGTGGGGTGTGGCTCTCCCAAACACGGGACCTCTTTTTAACGTCCTATATAAGGGACGTCCCTAACCGAAGCTAGGTACTCATTTCCACCTGAGTGAAGTGAGGAAAGTCGTGTAAAGTGCCTCTCCCAAGGGCACAAGATCGGTACGCGGTGACATGGGCAGGATTCGAACCCGCGACCTCTTGGGTGTGAGCCGAACGCGCTACGACCCCACGTGTTGTGTCCGGTCCAGAACTATGTTTAGACACGGCTCTGGATAGTCCACGTGTATATATCCAGAACAGTACATGGGTTAATTCTAATCTCTTGGATATTTGTGCACTGCTAGAATCCAGAGCCGTGCCTGATACTGATCCTAATCCTTTCAGGCATTAAACTACGTATACAGTGGTACGGTTCTGGATACAATATGTTGGAAACGTAAATGTATGAAGTCTGAATTCGAACGTTGTCTTCTTTGGGTTTTTTTTTTTCAGAAGGAATTGTGTATCGTTTCTGTCATCAAACTCTTTCATTCCATCGACTTTTGAGCTGAACATGTACTGTTTGTTATCAATTATTTTGTGTGGTATTAAATATCAAACTTAAATTTAAAGCTCCCATAGCCTTTTTGAGGTCGCAGAGCAGTGGATTGTTAATACACTGTGTCTAGGGCACGGTATTGGAAGGTGGAGCCCATCACTGCCTTTTACCTCCCAAACCGAAGTCAGGTACCAATTTTAACCAAGGTGGCGTGAGGAAAGTTGTGTATGTAAAGTGCCATTCCCAAGGGCACACTCGGCACGATCTCGCGTGTCCGCTTACCTATGGGGACTCAACGTCATGACTTTATGAAAAATTCAAGTCCGTGATGTCCTCTGAAGGATTGTCGTTCAAATGTTCATTTTCAAATTTATGAAACACTTAGAACTTATGGTACTGAGGTATTCTTTTCTTCTAAATAATTCAAAAGTATTACAAAAATGGAGGAAAAACCCATGCGGAATTGACTCTGTAATTTGTACATTTATAATTCATATATATATAGTATGATAAATCATCCATTCTCTTGCAGTGTCGAGAAGCAGACAGCAAAATATCCAATCAAACGTGCCGTGGAAGCAACTGCAATACCGCCCGGTGACGTAGGGGGCGCTAACGACAGTTCCACAAACAAGACTTCATTGCAGAACAACGTTAACATAACACAACTATCGGGGCCCGGACGTGGGATTAAAGTTACTGCGACAAAGAACGAAAGCGAAAGTGCCCCAGTGCCACCCAAAAAGAAGAAAAGGAAAGTTATCAGAATCGTGAAGCGAAAGAAGAAAGCTGCCAAGTCGAAGACGGACACCTTGGATGAAACGAAAACAAAGGAGAGTAGCGCCGCCATGCGAAATGGATCAGAACAGCATTGGTGTTTCAACAGTTCTGAGGTACGAAAAGTGAGGTAAGCGCTACTCTTTGACTTACCGAAAAATTGATGAAGAAACCCTTGTAAGATACTTATCAATAAAAGATTATCAAATAGAAGCAATTACGTATGGGAAGGAAGTATTGATTTGGGTGGCACTAATTTATGTTAGGTTTGTATGTTTGGGTTCTAGACTTGAGAGTGAAATCTCGCATTTCTTGTTATAATTCTCATCACTTAATTTACCATGTAATATCTCTGATTAAATAAGTACCTTTATTAAACGTTACAGAAGTTATCATTACATATAGTAGATATCAACATACTTTTCTCATATCAAAGTTATTGCTGTGCTGTTTTTTTCTTCAAAACTGACTGAACACAATATCGTTTTTACTTCCAGACAACATATACTTAAATTCTACAGCCTGGACTCAAACATGACCATAACACAGTCTGGTCTACGAATTGGCCAACGTTTAAAATATGAACTTGCAAGGAAACCATCATTCAACGTCACTGAAGACTTCTTGAAGTTGGTCCCAAAGGAACAGCCTTTGAAAGACCGCCATTTTAAGACATGTGCAGTCGTGGGCAACTCTGGGATTGTACTGAAAAGTAACTGTGGGCAAGAAATTGACTCCATGGACTTCGTCATACGGTGTAACCTACCTCCCATAGAAGGGTACCAGAAAGATGTCGGCTCCAAGGCTAACCTCACCACAATGAACCCCTCAGTGATCCCACAGAATTTCAAAAATTGGAACAAAACGAAGAAAGAATACGATCGCTTCTTGCGGCGCCTTAGTCTAATTGGTGACCAGATCTTGTACGTACCTGCCTTCACGTCTCCGCATGGAGAAAAGGATGTGAGAATCCTCACACAGTTTGTTCTTAAGCATGAACTGCCGATGAAGACTGCTTTTCCACCGACAGGACTTAACAATCTCATGAAAAAGTGAGTTTACTTGTCATCTTTTAAGATGATCTTTGAAATATTAAAATCTAAGTAAAATATCAAAATCTTGAGAATATCAAAATCTAAGTAAAATATTAAAATCTAAGTAACAGTAAAAGAAAATTAAAAGTATTAAAATCTTATTCTAATTACACAACATGTACTTCTCAAGTTCTGGGTACGGAAGTATTGTTTTGGGTGGGTGAGCTGTGGGTGGGTTTGTGTGTGTGTCCTGACGGAGTAGGTTGACAGCAAGTGGGTGAGGAACTATTGACAGGCAGGATGACAGGTGATCAAAAGGTCATGGAAACATGGGGAGAAGTTGGGAGTAGGTTGACAGCACTTGGGTGGGGAGGATTGACAGGTTGCATTATAGATGGTCAAAAGGTCAGACACAGTCAACATGTGGGTAGGTTGACAGCAATCGAAGGGCAAGTGGTCAAACAAGGGAAATGGGGTGAACTTCAAGGTCATAAAAATCCAGACCTCAAATCTCAAATTTCTTGCTGTAATAATACTAATATACATGTATATCTATTGCTTTTTTAATGCACTGTCTGGGTCGCTTAGTTGAATCATTAATGCAATCATTATCACAAGTACTAGTATTTGAACTAAATATATTACAGAATTTGGAGAGATGCTGGGTTCAAGATCCTCCGTCCGTCCACCGGCGCTCACATGTACACCCTGGCTGCAACCGTTTGCGACCAGATCCACATGTATGGCTTTTATCCCTTCAAAAAGGACCCACAGGGCACGGCGCTACACTACCACTACTACGACAACAGAAAGATGATCGGTAACAGGACTCACAACATGCCAGAGGAATTCAGCGCATTTCAGCAGCTCCACCGGCGGGGGGCAGTGGTACTGCATACAGAACCATGTCAATGATTTTTTTTGGCAACACCAATGTGGCGAGCCTAATACTAGTATAATATGTACATGTGTAAGTTTGCAAAAATTCTAGGAATTGTTCAGGAATCAAAAATATTTACATGTAGTGAACATCTGTTTTACTCAGGAATTTTTGTAAACGAAGTTACTGGATTATAAATGGAACTCAATGGAAGATCAATGAATTATTATTATTAACAATATAATCAACTAGAAAGGTAACATTCGCATAGCAAATGCATAATGTTTACATTCGCATATGGTCTGCTGTGTTAATTCTTACTCAAAGACATTCTTACTCAATGACAGGAGTCTAAATCCCTCCTGCTATAAAATTGCAACATGATGTAACCCAACACCAGTTACCATGGTGACGGACGGTCTGGTTCAGGTCATTGACCAGGTCAGCATTTGGAATGGAAGAAGAAGAAACAGAGCAAAAACAATATGTTTTCCTTCAGTAAACATAATTATTTTATTAAGACACTCTTGGCCTTTTCCTCTGACTGTGGTCACCATGACTTGTTCCTTCCTCTTGTGACATATCTGATGTTACGTCCTGTGTGCTGTTTGGAATGCACACATCTCGAATACCAGCCATCTGTTTCAAAAAGACATAAACCATACTTACATCTTGAAAACCTGTTTATTTCATGTCATGAACATGAAGACTCAGGCATATTCTCCAAGGGTATAAAGTCTTTCTTCAGTCTTCCATCCATCCATCCATCCATCCATCCATCCATCCATCCATGCATCCATCGATCCATCCATTCATCCATCCTTTCATCCATCCATCCATCCATCCATCCATCCATGCATCCATCGATCCATCGATCCATCCATCGATCCATCCATCCATCCATCCATCCATCCATCCATCCATCCATCCATCCATCCATCCATCCATCCATCCATCCATCCATCCATCCATCCATCCATCCACTCACTTAGCCCTGTGTACATGTATTGAAAATTTTCTTTTTTCTCAGCTACTCAATACTCAATCTGTGATAGGTGTACTTACCGTCACTTGATATGGTACTGTTGCCTCTTCCCGTGTGGGTGACTTGTACAGTCTTGCATACCTGTATGCCAAATAAAAAGGGATACATGCATATTTGCATTTGCTGTGTGGATTAAGAATAAATTCCAAGGTGTCATTCAATTAAATCATCTGACTGAGGAAACACATAGTTACATGAGAGAGAGAGAGAGAGAGACAGAGAGAGAGAGAGAGAGATACAAGAATGCGTATATCCAACATTACAATAAATTACATGTTACATGTTATGTATGTACCTGTAACCTGCTTCCCAGAAGAGAAGGACTCGTATAGTACTGGCATGTCCCCAGCTTTCCCCTGAACATAGACATGAATTAGATGAGACAACAAAGCTATGAACTAGGTAAATTTCAGACTATATTAAACATCAGAGAAACCCATTAATTATCAATGTTCAGTAACCAAAATATATACAAGTTGCAAGGCAATACCATAAATCTTGATATGTTTGTGGTGGTTTTGTTTTCGCTGTTTTCCTGTGACCTCTCAACCCCAAATTCATGACACCAGAAGTATACGTTTCCAATGTATTATACTACATATTAAAAGTGTACTACAGAAGTTATCATTTTTGTTTGAAGCTTATTCAGACCTTGTTCAGTATTCAGACCATTAAATCTTACACTGCTGGAAGAATGAAGAACAACTGTCACTGACCTAGTGCAGGAACAAGATGAGCCTGGCCATCACCAGAATGTCCCATCTTGGTGGTCATCTGGTTCACAAGCACAACCTACACACAAGGAAATGTGTATAATTCTTATGTATTCTTATATATGTAAAAATCAAAGCCATCATGACCCGATCATGGTGATGAAAGCCAAGGACTGTAAAAGTGTACTTAGTAATGTTAGATCTTAAAATGTTTGCAGTGACTACCGACACTCTACACTATAGATTCAGGAAGAACTTAAACATGCATGCATGTGTTAGACTAAAGCCAGCATGCTGGCTTTGTTCTACAGTAAATTCAGGCAGCAATTTTACTTAAATGCTTCCGAGAGACCCATTGCCAGCCATGAATTACATCAAACTGAAACAGTTGAGTCCGCTGACTTTGCTCTATGCAAAAGAGCATACTGGCACCCACTGAAAAGAGATATCTGTCATTTTTCTCCCTCCAAATGAAGAATTTAGAAGATTGGAAAGACAGTCCCTCTGGGTACTCTCAGGACACTACTTACAGCTGCTTTGTGGCTGTCTGCTAGTCTGATACAGTTCTGTGCCAGGCCGTTCAGTAGCCTGGTTCGGAGAGACAAGTCTTCAAAGTCATGTCTGAAGGGGAACGCAATGCTGTCCATCACTACAAGACGTATCTGAAAAATATAAAACAAGAAGTTGAAGATCTCATACCTCCATGAAATACATGTATTTCAATTTTTTATGACTTTCTTATTATGTTTACCGAAGGAAAACATATTGTTTTTGCTAGGTTTCCTCTTCTTCCATTCCAAACACTGACCTCTGACCTGGCCAATGACTTGATTTGTTGACATCTCTCACCATGATAACTGGTGTTGGGTTACATAATGTTGCAATTTTATTGTAGGAGGGATTTATACTCCTGACCATATATATGAATGTATTTGAGTAAGAATTAACGGAGCAAGTTTTAACAGCAAGAATTAACCATAGGCAAAGGTAAACATTATGCATTTGCTTTGCAAATGTTACCTTTCTAGTATTTATCTTGAATCTCTACTGTCTATTGCAGATTCCCACTGGCTTCCATAAGGCAACAGACATGCATAATTGAAGACAGGAAATAAGATAACGTTTTCTGGGACCTTTGACCTAACTTCCTTTTAGTGTCCTCAATGTACCTACATGTAGCATGTGTAAAATAATGAAAACACCCAAAACAAAACCTCTGTACATATTGGTAACAATAAATAAATGCTAATATATCATACACATACCTAAATACAACAACTATAGAAAATTCCATATTTGAATGATACAGAAAAAAAATGTTTCAAACCTTGGGATGCTGTTGTAAAAACTCTGGAAGAATGTTGATAAGTGCCACTAGTTCTACCCAGTCATGCACTCTGTAGAAGTGGATTCTTGATAAAATGTGTTCCACAGTGAAATCTGACATTGCCTCCAATTGTTCTGTAACATAGATTAAAAAGGAAAAATTAATTCTACACATAAAGTAAGTACCAAACTAGTATTTCAAACATATACTGAACTAAACATCACTGAATAATACAAAAATAAATCAGACGGCTGAATACGTTCTCTGTGTTCCCTGTTTCTGAAAAAAAAATGCTGACCCTAGCCTTTTTTTTGTGTGGACCCCTGCAAGGGACATAATTTTTTTTGGCTAGCTCCATGATCTGACACCTGAGTGATGAAACATTCTACAATCAGTTTTCCAACATTTACATTGAAATATAAGTGTCCTCATGTAAGTTTTACTTTTTTAAAACTGTACTGTATACGTTGGATCACTTAATTGCCGATTTAGTCTTAAAAAGAAAAAAAAAAGATAATCCCTACCTACCGACCCTAATTTTTTTAGGCCTGAAACAGGAAACACAACATTTTTTTTCTTTAAGCCCTCACCGACTAAAGTCGAATATGCAGTAAGACGTTTTAGGTCTTTCCTTGAAAGTTTTATCTAAGATTCTTTATAACTGTCACCTCTATTGTTCTCCACCGTAGCTATGTGTCTGCAATGTTCCACTGCGGCCTTGGCCATATCTTCTAATCTGTGGACCATAAAGCTTCCTTCTGTGTCCACATACACTGCCTCTCCACCCAACCCACCAAATACACAGGGGATCTGTACATCTATTGCCAGCTGCATCCTGAAGTAAAATAAGGAAAATTAGATCAATTTATCAATTCAAACATACAAAGTTTTTGCCAATAAACTTAGGAACAATAACATTCATTACTATGTGCCTTACTGTCAATTTTATTTTCCTGGAGACTTAATTTTGTAGTAAAAGGAGAAACCATTCTCCAGCATACAGTACTAATACTGTAATTTTAACATTAGAATAGCATATTTGTGGTGTCATGACTTCTAAGTTAAAGAGAGGTCACTGTAAAAAAAACAAAAACAGCCTGAACATTTCAAGGTTTGAAGTCTTAAAACATTCCAGTATATGGTCAAAAGTCTCCAACAAGTAAAAAAAAAGTTTAAGGGTATACGGCTTGTCTTATATCATCAAAATGCCATCTCTTAAGCTTGCTTCCCTGCAAAAATCGCCAGCTCCTCAACTAGCTAGATAGGCTACCTTAGTTACTTAACTTACTTAAAAGTTAGGCTACCTTAATCTCCAAGCAGATCCCTATCGGTGGCAAAAGGACAGTATCAAATTGGCCAGGCAGTATCCATTAGCAAGAGAAGGTCTGCGGCCACCGACGGGCACCGATGAGTAGGGACAAAAAAAAAAAATGGCCATATATAAAAAGGTAACAATCATTCCCCCACAACCTCTGCTTGGAGAGCAAGGCTACCTGTCTTACCCCATTTGTGTCTTCCCAACACCCGGTGCACCACAGAACTCTGTTATCTTGGTGAGAGGCACCCCTCCTCCCAACAGCTCATCCAGGGCAGAACAGAATGTGATGATACAGCCCTGGTGTCTCTCCTCCTGTAACAGGTCCAGGGCTGTCTTCACAGCCTCATCAGAGCTTGAGGGGGAGGAGGCATCATTCTGCACTCCTTGGACAACTCTCAAGATTTCAAGTGCTTCTTCTGGGGATATCTTGAGTTCTGGCAAAAAAAAAAAAAATACATGTCCATACAATACCATACACACTATTATATACAGTTAGGCCATACCAATTTAATTTGTTGCTTCCCTGATTTTTTTCAGAAAAAATATGAAGCACGCACGCACGCACACACGCACGCACGCACGCACACACACGCACACTCACAACTCATCAGTCACAAAGTTTAATATGAAGGCGGAAGCTAGTAATTATCATTTGCAACATTATTACATGAAAAACCTATTTGATTAAATATCTATAAAGCGCTACACTGCACAAATCAGGACTCCATAATTTTTCTCAAGAAATCGAATCTACCGCCAAAAATCTGCCCCTCCCCACCTTTGCTCAGCTCGACTGGCTTCAAATCTTCTAAATCTTCCACTGTCGAAAACCCCCCGGCTAGGAGTTTGGTCTTCAGGTAGGGAGGAAGGGGATACGAGCCGACATGTCGCGACATTTGGCTGAAAGTGAGACAAAAACGTTACAAAATTTGCGTCGAAAAAAGTTCACACACGAAATGTCGTCTGAAATGTTTCTGTTTCCGGTTTCTTTGCACTTTTCCGGAAATACGTCATTGACCACGGGACCTGAGCTGTCTCTTTCCATTACTATTGAGGGGTGAATTTAATATCGAAAACTTTACGTTTGTTTCAAGATGCATGAGATTGATACGCCATTATCAACTAATGATATATAATCAAGACAAATTTATATTATTTTTCAGAATCTATATTTTACTTTCACTACCTTTGTAATACCATTTCAAAATTTAGTAGTAGTCTACCTTTACACTAGTGGCATCGTCCAATCTTACCTGTTGAGAACATGCTTGGCGCGGTCGAACAGGTAGTCTAGTGTGTTGTTGACTTATTAAGATAAAAACGTCAAAACGTTGACCTAACCTCATTTTACCTGACGATCGGCCGGCGTACGCACGTGGGGAGGGTCCAAAGTCTGGGGACGATGCGGGGAGCGCAGTTTTTGGCGGGAGTTTTGTGTTATGCCGTGGTTTTGGCGGGTGGACAGACACCTGTGCCGGCGGTTAGTCCAACACCACCCGTTGAGTCATACGCAGGTGAGAATTTATAACGTCCGCTACACAATCCGTTACGTTACGTATCATACTAATCGCACAATTTCTTCTTATTCTTAAACTAAAGTAATACTTACAAGTCAATTCTGTTGCCTTCCGTGTGTAGCAACAAATTGTGATTTGTATTAAACAAAGCTTTCGTTTCATTTCCGTATCATTTGTTTGACATGGAATCCGGTATGCATGATGTCATCCTAGTGATCAGTGTTACACCTCGTGAGAGTTGACAATGCAAATATTTTCAATGTTTTTCCTATCTATTAATATCCCAAACTTGCCAGATTTAATCAATTTTCTCAGTCGTTGATCTGTAATGTAAAATGCAACAATGTCAGATTTTCAACCAGCTCTTGCCAAATTGATCTTAAAAACAATTTCAATTTAATTAGCCTCGAAAACGTACCAGATTTCAATTGACATAATTACTTAATAAGCACTTCTGGCATATTTGGTGCTGAGGCATATTTAAGGTTTTTAATAGTCTTCAAAACTATCTTGAAGATAATGTTTTAGAAACTGACAAGAACCGATCAAACAAGCCAAAACAGAAATCTCAGAGATATTAATGTTTTCTATTCATTTTCCTAAGTCTTGATAGGAATCCTAAGTATTTCAAAAATTCATTTTAATTTGCCCCTCCAGCTCCAATTGTATAACATGGGTGGGTGTGAGAAACTGCTAAAGAAATAAAAACATGTTGTTTTCACATCCACCTTTCAGTAATTCCCAAGGGAATGTGTACTGTAAAGTGCTATGGCCAGACAAATTAATTTTCCAGGCAGGTTGAATATGTTGTCTATTAATAACGCAGGAGACACAATTAAATGAAAAGAAACAAAAAACAAAACCAGTGGGGACAGATTATCCATACCAGTAATGTTTTCACACTATAATGTTAGATTGCTAAATGCAAGATTGTTACTATAGAAATCATTTGTGATTGCCTTAGCATTACATGTTTTAATGGACATTGATTTTTTTCTAACAAAACAGTCTTCAGATTTAAAGTGAAGGCAGATCACTCCAATCCATAATTAATGACTGTCTTTCCCTTTCAATAGAATTTTAGCTGTACTTCCTTGAAATTTTCAATAGCAATTGTCTTATACTTCTAGCATGCATGTCGTGTAGTTGTACAGAATAGGTAATCTCCAAGCAGATGTTTCGGTGGCTGCAAAACAGTATCAAATTGGCCAGACAGTATCAAATTGGCCAGCCAGTATCCAACACGCCACCCAAAGTTGGGTGGCGTGTTGGATACTGGCTAGCCATGTAACTGAACTGTTTGGCCAATTTGATACTGTTTTGCAGCCACTGAAACATCTGCTTGGAGATTACAGAATAGGTTACCAAGCCTTAGGAATGATACACGAACAGGCATGAATAATAGATGCATTATTAAACTGCTGTGTCATTGTCAATACTTGCCCATGCATATGTAAAACTTACAAAATCTATATATATATATTAAAGCCCATGTACCCTGTCTATAAAGAATCACTTGTTTACTGTTTTTGTTAGTATTCCCAAAAAGAAAAAATGGAGATTTTTTAAACAATATTCATCTATGCAAGAAACTGTTCTTATTTCATTGAGTTTTATGCATTCTATTAGTGTTGTATAAGGTCTATGATGACAGTCACGATTTTTAACAGACAATATTATGAGACAAAGTGTATTGTAATGAGACAAGCATGTCCAGACCATGAGATACTAAAAGTGGAAGTTCTGCTGCACATTCAGTACCAAGGAGAGCTGCCAGAGGATCCAAAATTTTATCATTTCTTTGATAGGTCAAGACCTAAACACGTACCAAATTACATGACAATAACTTCTTCAGTTATGCTGCTGAACCATGTCCAAACATACATACAAATGTTACCAAAAACATAACCATCTTAGCAAAGGTAATTGTCAACACAATTCAGTTATATAGTATATGCCTGCCATGTTGATAAAGTTAAACTGTTTGTAATATGTTTACCAAAGGAAATATATTGTTTTTGCTCTGGTTTCTCTCCTTCCATTCCAAACACTGACCTCTGAACCAGACTGTCTGTCACCATGGTAACTGGTGTTGGGTTACATCATGTTGCAATTTTATAGTAGGAGGGATTTAGACTCCTGTCAACATACATCTTATATGTGAATCACAGTGTTTGAGTAAGAATTAACAGAGCAGACCATATGCAAAGGTAAACATTATGCATTTGCTTTGCAAATGTTAGCCTTCTAGTTTTGATTTGATTTGTTCCTATTAAAGCAGACTGCGGCGGAAACTACAGCGAACTCTCGGGTGAAATCCTCTCCCCCAATTGGCCACGGGACTACGGCAACAACGCCAGCTGTAACTATGCCATCACGGCGCCAAGCAGCCATTTTCTGACCCTCAGCGTGAACGCCTTCTCGACAGCAGATGAGGGAGACACGTTAACGATCATCGATCCGGGCGCTGTGATTGGCCGTTACAGCGGTCACATGTTGGGTGCAGGTGATGTCATTAATAGCACAGGCCATCAGTTGTACTTGAGGTTCTCATCGGATTCCACTAATGGCACCGGAGGATTCAATATTACTTACAGAGGTGAGTAGGGCTGCTGTGATGAAGGTCAAATTCATTAGGCCTAGGAAAGGAAATGTTGTGTTTCCTGTTTCCGTCTTGAGAGAATTAGGGTCGTACGTCGGTAGGTACTCGAATAGGGATTGTCTAGTATATTGTTCACCGAAGGAAAACATATTGTTTTACTCAGTTTCTTCCTCTTCTGTTCCAAACACTAACCTCTGACCTGGCCAATGACATGATTTGTTGACGTCTGTCACCATGGTGACTGGTGTTGGGTTACATAATGTTGCAATTTCATGGTCTGCTCTGCTCCTGTCCCCCTCTTTTAATTCTATTTTTTAGACTTTGGCATTTCTAGTCATCCAACGTATACAAATTGAATACAATCCTGTTCTCATCATTGAAAGGAACCTTAGGCTTTGTGGGTGTGTTTATATAACATCCATCCAGGGCTTGAAATTCATTGTTGGGAATAGGTGCACCGGTGCACCCAACCTAAAAAATTAGGTGCACTCAAATTTTTTTGGGTGCACTATGTAAAACAAAACTAAAGATGTTACTGCTCCTCTTCTTAAAGCTTGAATCTGAAATGGGAGCTAACATCAAAATCTTACACAAGTACTACAACAACTGTTTTTAAAATTATTCTTTTTCTGACACTTGGATGCCAAGAATATCCTGTGTACTATTAGACATTTGATATGCACAAAAATACCTACAAAAATATTTAGGTGCACCAGTGCACCCAAAGAAACAAATTGGGTGCACACCTCCAATTTTGGGTGCACTAAGGTGCACATGCACCCAGTATTTTGAGCCCTGTCCATAAAATTTCCTTGCTATGGCCTAATGGGAAGATTTCAGTAATCAAAAGTAATGAGTTGATGGATTGTAATGGGTGTAAGCTCAGTGCTTGAACCTTGTTACATTAAATCATTATGGTTTAGTAATGTACGGTGGCCTGTCAGAGTACAGACTAATTAGTACAGGGTGACAAAAAGAGGTCATTTCCCACCCCAAAACAATACTTCCAAGTAAAATCTAGGTACAGGGCATGAAAAATATCATCATGTGCTTCAGACAAAGAAAAATGTATTACTGAATTATGGCTTGATGAGACATACCTGCTTGTGCAAAACCTATAATTTCTTTGGCTTAGCAATTCGGCAACACCTTTATTTAAGGCCATGCATATTATCATATTGAATTTGAAAGATGACATGATTGACATCCCACGTTTTGAAAAAAAATTAATGTCAGAAAAGATATTATCCTCTGCTTCGGGCAAAAGGCCCGATGCAACGTTGACCAAAAGCACTGCAACGAGGAGGTGAAAAATTTGGGTTTTGCTTACATTCTGCACATTATGGATTGTCCACTATAAAACGATAAATACACAAAACTGTTCAAGCTCCTTTCCGCTTGCTCAACAGAATTTGTTACATTTCATGCTATAGATGAATTTAATTTCATCCTAGAGGGTTATAACCCTTACTGTGTACAAATAGGTACATATATCAAAGAATGTTTAGACCTTAGAACAAGTAGTATTAGTTGACTCATCTATTGTTTTGTATACGTAGCTTAATTTCGTTGTACTCATGTATTTGTCTGTATGTCTACATTTAGTTTTAGACCTTACGAAAGTTGCTGTACTTTAGTTTGTTGTGTCAATAAAGTTCTTATAATGTAATATGTACATGTAATATATGTATGGAGAATGAGATCATCAACATGTTTTTCATACAGTAACAGATATTTTTTTACATTTGCCCACACAGCTCAGCCTATCCCAGGTGACTGCCCAGACCCTGGAACCCCAGACTATGCCAGTCGTGTAGGAGCTGCCCTGGTTCCAGGTTCTACAGTACAGTACACCTGTGATGCTGGGTACACTCTGTATGGGAACTCCTCACTCACATGTCAGGCTGGGTCCTGGGATTCTCCCATACCTACATGCAGAGGTAAGGAAACAACAGGAGCTTCTCCACTAATTTGCATCATCCTTGTCTTGAATGTCTATCTTTTGTTTCCTTTTGGACTTCCAAAAATTTGTCTTCGCTAAGTTGCATATCAATCAATAGTTCGTGTTTATAAACCTGCATTTCTTCTGTAGTCTCTTAGTGTCACTGTCGAAAGGTAATGGTGGATGCTACCTAAAACGTCTGACCGTTCCCAAAATCATATCCACGTTGCTTGAGTACCTGTTTTTTGGTGTGTCTTTTTATTTAATAAGTACTATGTTGTGTGGAAGGATGATGTGTGGGTGTGATTACTAAACTTATACATTTGTGTATGGTATGATTTTAGTTGTAGTAGCTGTAATGTAGTGGGAGACAGCAGTGAAAGACCCGTGAAGATATACCAGGAAATAATAAATTTTCTGTGGAGAAGGATCTACAAAGTCTGAAATTAAATAGAGTGATAGATTAAACTTTAAAGAATTCCAGTAATGCTACAGATTTACAAAGCTATGTATGATGTAAAAAAAGCATTTATTATAAATTGGTTTGGCTTGTGTATTTGCAGAAAGTATTTCCAAATTGCAGAACAAAATATTGAATCTTCTGCAATATTGTAGATAACTGAAAAAAGTATATCGACCACTGACATGAAAGTGTTAACCCTCATTTTTCCACAGCTGCGTGTGGAGGGAACATCACCAATGCCACCGCAGGTGTCATCCTGTCACCTGGCTACCCCAGCTGGTATGCAGCTAACCTGTCCTGCACCTGGACTCTGTCTGCACCTGAAGGCACCTCACTCCGACTCACCTTTACAAACTTCACACTGGAAGATGGAAATGACTTCCTCTGTAAGTTTGAACAAGAAGTTACATTTGATATCATTCAACTACATATATCTGAACCAAGAATCAGTGTTTTTGTGGTTTGCTAAGACTTTTTCAGTTGACACTGATGTTAGTTATTCTTAATTCTTACATTTTCTTTTAGCATGACTGAACGTGTCTTTGGTTTTTATGTAGTTTGTTTTTCATGTTTCTTTGTACTTCAATTATTTCATATTTTTTAAATAAAATTATTTTAAAAAGTTTGAACAAGAACTTGAAGACCTTATTTGTATATGTAGAGAGTTTTCAAGAATTTCTTGTTTTTTTCATTTGTCCATTTTGATTTGATTATTTTACTGACATCCACGCATTTTCAACCATATTTCAACGGATACTGTAAATCGTACAAAACAGTTGCAAAATAAGAAAATATAAACTGTATGTTGGCAAAAAAACTGTTTGCAAAGGATACCAATGTCATAGAATGCCAAAATCAAAAGAAAAAGTAAAAAATGTAAAGAATGTCGAAATAACTACAGAAACATGCATTGTAAACAAAAATCTCTGTACACAACATTGGAGTCTGCTAGGGATTTGAACCCAGAACCTTTAGTTTCTTCAACAATCCTAACCACCAGACCACCTTCCCACAGATGTATATGATGCAGACAGACCAGATGACCAGCCAGAGAGAACCCTGACTGGTAGTGATGTCCCAGCTAGTTGGCTAAGCAGGACAAACAACGTCATACTACGACTTGTCACCAACGCAGACTCAGGAAGAGAAGGCTTCTCACTGATATATGAAAGTAGGTAATATATCTAAAAAAGTCTCTATAATATGTCTCTATGGCTCCTTGGTAGATGTAACGAATGGTTTTGAACTTTTAATGAAACAAAATTGCATTGTTACTTCTAAAAGCTTTAACAACTAGGAAGAGAAGGACTTTCTTCAACCATTGGGGCCAAAATATGTCTTCCATTGAGCATTTTGCAGTTGATTTAGAACAAAAAAAAAATTTTTTTTGTAAATTTAAAAAAAAATGGACAGGGCAAATCCGAGAAACAACAAATTAAATTGGTGTGGCCCTAGTGTACTAACTGTTTGTGCTATGAAATGAAATTTCAGCAAAAAACCTTACTTTCCAAATCCCACAAAAATAAATGAATTTACAGACTGTATATCTTTCATAATTGTAGGTATACCAGAAACTTTCTGTCGTAACCCCGGGCCCATCCTCCATGGGAACAGCACTGCCGCTGAAGCCCTCTACTCCGCGGGACAGTCTGTGACATACCGCTGTGAGGCGGGGTACCAGTTGCTAGGCAACGCAACACTTACCTGTCAGCAGGGCAGTCAGAGGAGCTGGGATGCAGCTCCACCTGTCTGCTATGGTGAGGAACTGCAGCAACACTTTGACATGTCTAAAATTCATGAAGACAAATTATATTTTACTGTAATAGCCAGTACTGAAGTTGACTTATAAAAAAGTAATGCCATAAGGCAACAGACATGCATGTAATCTAGCGTGATCTTTTAGTTGTCAGGAAAAAAGTTACTGTTACAAAAAGAAAGCCAGCTAAGAATGCCTAGAAGCACATCAAAAACATGCATATACTAGTATTACATGTAGCAGGAAATTGGAGACAGGAAATGAGATAACCTATTCTGGGACCTTTGAACTAACTGTCCCTGATCTGCCTGGGATGTGGAAATAACTATGGTAACTAAATTTTACATCTGCACAAATACAGCTCCGTGTGGTGGAAACTTGACCGCTGCTAATGCAACCATTGCGTCTCCGACACCCGACCACGAAAACACTGGCATAAGAGACTGTTACTGGCAGATACATGTGGACGACAGCTACAGGGTCCTCATCACATTCAACAGGTGATACAAAAATTGTTAAAACTATTACTAGTATTAGCAAAGTCAAGGCATTTCAGTAACTGTTGTTAAGTGAAGGCATTCAGCACCAAGGACAGACACCTCTTGTCAATGGATACCTATTATAACTGCTATATTAGGGCTCAAAATCCTTTTTTCTACATATCTGCACTGGTGGAGGTAACTTTAAAAATTGCCTGCACCAGATGAGTTTTACCTGCATCAGTCAGAATTTAGCCTTTGGATCAGACTGGTGGTATAGAGTTCCATATATCTCTACATGTTTATATAAAATCTACTGTACATGGACCAATGCAGGTTAGGTGTAGGTAAACTTCAAAAATACCTGCTCATGTACAATTTTACCTGCATATTCAGGTGGTATTTTGAGCCCTGTAAAGTAAAGGCATTTCAGTAACTGTTACTATGTGAAGGCGTCCAGCACCAAGGACAGGACCCTTTTTCAATGGAAAGCTTGAAATATGTTTGTCATTTTATGTTCTTTCTTTACAACGTATTTTTCTATCTATTATTTAGTTTGTAGATTTGCTTTAAGCATAGAAAGTCAAGACTTCGAATTGGACTAAGAAATGTATTGAAAAGATGTTACCCCAAAATAGTACATTTTACTTGTAGATTTTGCATTCTTATGCCATACACCACTGAAATAGTCTTACAAAAATTAGTATAAAATTTTTAATACTTCATGTGGAAGTAAATCTATTGTCTTAGTTTAAATTCTAGGAATAAACATTATTTTTTAGCAAACAATATTGCACGTTTCAGTGCAATATGCCAAACACATCAATATCAAATCATTATTTTTCATTTCTTAAAAATTCTTTACACACAGCTTTCAACTCAGAGAGAGTGATGCATACCTGGCCATCTTTGATGGTGGGGACCTTGCAGCAGCTCCCCTAGCAAACTTCAGCAGTACTGCACCTGCTGTGGCAGATGTGTACAGTACAGGCAGCCAGGTTCTACTTCACTTCCACCATGGGCCAACTGACAGCTATGGCAACTTCAGTATCACTTATTTTGGTGAGTTTGTTATGGGTGGATTAGGAACACTTAGAACCAAGCCACTTTCTATACTGACAATGTGATTTCCTGTATGACCACTTTGTCTAGCTTCTTTCGTACTAACAATTTTCTAACAATACAATGTTATGGGAGTCTCCAACTATTAAGCATTAGGCCATGTTAATTTTATTATATGGATGACATCCGCTCGCGCATGGATTTTAGGCCGTTTCCAAAAAAAAGTTTTCAACCATAATATAGATCATACAAAACAGTTGCAAAATGAGCAAGTATACAGTAAGTTGCAAAAAAAATCTTTAAAAACGATACCAATGTCGTAGAATGCCAAATTCAAATGAAAAAAGACAAAAATGTAAAGAAATGAATTTGAAGACTAGATTATTCGCCATACCATAATCATTTGTTCAACCTTTATGATCACATAGATTTCATAATGAAAGCAACTTTTTTTTTTTGCAAAACTTTCTTTATTCGCACGCGCGCATCAGTTTTTGGGTTCCCAGAGGATGTCATCCATAAAATCAAATCAACATGGCCTTATGATATTAAAATGTTCATGTGCAGAAGCAAAGAAGAAACATTGCCCAGACCCAGGGACAGTGGAGAACGGCCGAAGATCGGGGGATGACTTCAGCATTCGCTCCTCTGTTATCTACACTTGTAACGGGGGCTACCAACTGGAGGGCCGGAAAACTATCATCTGCAAGCCTGGGAACCCACCCACGTGGGACTACCCAACACCCAGATGTGAGCTAGGTGGGTCATTTTGTTTAACGAAGGAAAACATTGTTTTTGCTCAGTTTCTACCTCTTCTTCTTCTCCAAACAAATAAGGTCAATGACCTGAACCAGACGTCTGTCACCATGGTAACTAGTGTATGGTTACATCATGTTGCAATTTTATAGCAGGAGGGATTTAGACTCCTGTCACCATATATATGAATATGTTTGAGTGAGAATTAACAGAGCAGACCATACATGAAGGTAAACATTATGCATTTGCTTTGCAAATGTTACTTTTCCAGTTGGTTGTATGTATTACTTCTACAGTTACAGTACTGTTACAGTATTGTTTTGGGTGGGTTTGTCTGTGGGTTTGTAGGTTGACAACACATGGGGGGAAGAATGGCAGGCAGAATGACTTAAGGTCAAAAGGTCAGACACAGGAAATGGAGTGGACTTGAAGTTGTGGGGGGGGGGAATTGACTTCAGGTCAAAAGGTCAGGCACAGAAAATGGGGTCGACTTGAAGGTGGGGGTAAGATTGACAGGCAGAATGACTGGAGGTCAAAAAGCCAGACACAGGAAATGGGGTGAGTCTGCAGATTTCAAAATCAGCAGAAGTAACTGCCCAACATGAGGAAATTCAGGAAGCTGAGGATTGCAATTACTTCCTGGAAGTCTAAAATCTATGATTTCTTTCTAATTGTCGGCTAGCTTGTTTTACATAACACACATTCTTTTCTCCAACCCAGTAAAAGACTGTGAGGACCCAGGAACTCCGGAGAACGGCCAGCGTGACTCTGATGACTTCAGCGTGGGTTCCTCTGTGTCGTACACGTGTCAGGACGGGTACAGGCTGGCCGGCGAGGCTACTCTGACCTGCACACGTAGCCCGGGATCCAGGCCCAAGTGGGACCACCAGATGCCAGCGTGTGAGGGTCAGTCAAGTTTATACCTGCTGTAGAATATGCAAGGCTAAGGCTTTGTGTTTTCTGTTATGACTTCCGGTACAAAAGTATTGTTTTGGGTGGCTGTGTTGTGGGTTCTGCTTGTCTCAATTACTAGTACTTGGTGGGAAGGGATTTTGAGATTGATTTTGTAACCATTTGTTATTACACATATTAGATTGGTTGATTTGATAACTTGGTTAGGCTGCCTTAATCAGAGTTGAGTAGTAACAGGTGATGAAAGTCACCATACCTGTTGCATAGTGAACACATTTCAGTACTGTTGTTAACTGAAGGCTTTCAGCACCAAGGACAGGGACCACTTATCAATGGATAGCATGCAAAAATAAAATATATATTTGCCATTTTATGTTCTTTCTTTACAAAATTATTTTCTATTCATTGTTTATTTTGTTGATTTATCTTAAGCATAAAATGTTAGGGCTATGCATTAGGCGGAAGTGCATTAAAATGGTCTTGCCCCAATATAGAATGTTTCATTTTTAGATTTTCGATGGATATCTTCCTTACGTTTGTCATTGTCCAGTCATTCTCTCCAATATGAGACTGTTGAAATGTAACAATAATTGCAGTGTAGTTTCAATCCTTATTACCTACTGCCTAACCTCGTCACCAATATAGAATTTGTAGCTAAATGACCACTTCAGTGCATTCAAGGTTAACATTCGACATTTTCCCACAGAGGTTCCCGCAGTAAGAACCTGACATGTCTCATGGGTTCGCTGCACTCACTCGGTGGCTTTATTCAGTGGTTATAGCAACTGACAAGGCTTTATCACACCATATTCACCTCAGGGCGGGTCATTAATCCTTAAATATTCAACATTTTTCTATAGAGGTTCCTATCCAGCTTTGCCACGACCCAGCGTTTCTCCACTATGGGTCGTACGACCCTAAAACCCACCACTACCGCGTGGGTTCTGTTGTGACCTTCTCATGCGACCCTGGCTATGTCCTTAAGGGCAGTAAGAACCTGACATGTCTCATGGGTAACTCTCGAGTCAGCACACCGCGCTGGAGTAACGCCTACCCTACGTGTGAAAGTAAGTACAGAATTGCCTTCCAGAAGGGTATAAATGATTATTTCAATCTTAGGCCACACCAATTTAACTTCTTGGTAAACGGATTCGCCCGCTTCATTTTTTCTGATTTGCAAAGAAAAAAAAATTCAGAATCAACTGCAAAATGCTCATATTTTGCCCTGAACACTTGAAAACAGTCCTTTTCTTCCTAGTTGTCACAGTTATTTCATCTTTCAATGCAGTAGTATCATTAAAAGTTCAAAATTCATTGTTTAAATTTTGAACCAGCCTGGTGTATTGACTTCATGGCTCTTATTGTACCATTTTGGGCCATAATAGGATGGGCCTGTTTTTATTTTTATTTTTTTTGCCCGCCCGCTCCATTACTTTTCTGGAAAAATCCGTTACCCATGAAATTAAATTGGTGTGGCCTTAGCAACTGTTGGAAAGACACTACGGTAAATAACTTCTGAATCAATACTCTATAATGTTAAATGATATTTTCTATATGTTGTAATAACAAATATTTGCATTAAAAATAATACTTGTAGCATTTTTACTATTCTATGATTGACGTTCATAATGATCACAATAGACAGCTAAATTTTTAAGTAAAATTCATGTCACATTGTAAACATTGCTTAATAATATGTATATTTATTTATTACATGTATCATTGAATACTTTGATTGCAACTACAATTATATCAAACAATAGCTGTGATAACAACAAGACTAATAAGTAAACTTAAATGAACATCACTGCTTATGATACAATACACTAGAATGCACTAGTTAAAGTAATTCACTGCATGTGTCTCTTGTACAAAATACAGAAAACAGTTGTTCATATAAGGGGGCCTGCATGCTATATACTGTCGGTGCTCTACCAATTGCTACATGTAGCTAGCTATAGCTGTGCTTTACACTAAATCTGGTGCCAATTACATGTATATTGAAATGGTTGATTACACTGTGAAGTTTGAATGGTGCAGCTATACATTCAGGGCTCGAAATACATTTTTGGCAATAGGTGCACTGGTGCTCTCACTCACTCACTCAAGGCCGCATGCTTCCATGGGGAGCGTAGCGCCTCGGCATATGGATCTCCAGGTGGTTCTGTCCTGGGCTGCCTCCCACGCAGTGTCGAGGTTGAGGGAGACAGTCAGAAGGTCATCCTTCAGTGCACTGGTGCACCCAACCTAAAATATTAGGTGCACAAAAAATTTTTTGGTGGACCATATAAAACAAAACCTATATCTTACTTCTCCTCTTCTAAGCTTGAATCTGAAATGGGAGCTAACTTCAAAATCTTACGCAAGTAGTACAACAAAAATTTTATAATATTTTTCTGACACTGTAGATGCCAACAAATTAAAATATCTACAAAAATATTGGGTGCACAGCTCCAATTTTGGGTGCACTAAGGTGCACATGCACTTAGTATTTCAAGCCCTGTACATGGAATCAAAACACATTACGCTCTACAAAACAGGCATGCAGGCCTCCATATAATGCATGAAATGTGTCCCACTTTTCCCCTACTGATATTCCCCCCTCCCTCCTACCCCTGGTTAGAATCGCAGGTGAAGGCCAGTAGTGTGAGCTCCGGTAACAATACTGCCCTGGGGGTTGGCCTGTTTGTGGTGCTAGCATTACTGGGAGTCGGTGGTGTGGTGGCTTACAAATGGAGGTGAGAAAAAGACTGGTTACAACTAACCATTCTCCAAGCAGAGGTATTAGGCTTGTTTTAGGGTTATTGTTTGCATGGCACTGCCATGATTTCATTATTTTGAGGAAGTCTTGGTACACTGTTACAGTACCTGTTAAGTCTAGATAGATACAGTGCACTCCTCCCCTGAGTGTATAGTGAACGAGCCCTGGGGTGTCAGAAAGTAGGGCATCCTGGGCAGAGAGGTCTTCCCAAAGGTTTCCAGGAATGTGGGCATGTCAACAAACAGAGCTGGGAGACATTCCTGCGGACAAAATTCCTGTACAATTCCTAGAATTGTTGCAAATTGCACACAATACTGTGCCATTAGGCTCCTTCCTGAGACGTCGCCAAAAACAAGCCTAACTTTTGCTTTGAGAATACAACTAACCTGACATGTGGGTTCTACAAATGGTTCTACTCTTCTCTTCTGCCATTACTGCATCCAAGTTCAACTTAACAAAGTCTGCATTAATGGCAAAGATGCAGGAGTATAAAAGTCCTGCTGATGTGTCAATAGTGGTTCTGCCCCCTTTTTACATCTACAGCTCTCGCTCACTCTGGGTATGTAAATGAGGCTATACGTGCCGTGAGTGTAACTATAGTCTTTCTACTGGCTTTGGGAGGTCTTGGCATTGGTTACAAGAAGGTCCTAAGGTAAGAAAGGCTGTGTTAAAGGAATAACCAAAAGGTGCAATGTATTATAGGTTCAAAAGCCTACTATACTATAACGTACTACCCAACCTTGTTAAACCTTGAGTGGGTCCTCAGAGATGTCAAAACAGGAGACAATGTGCTCTTCTTCTCCACTCGTCCCTATCCTCCATCAGTGAGCAGAGTTCTGCTGTGTTCACATCCAATTGCTTAATAAAAAGAGCTCTTATTAAACAAGTGGTTCTGTGGATAAAGAACCTTGCTTGATTCATTCACCAATCTTGTTGAAATTTTTTCATGGAAATGTATTACATCAGTCTGATATAAAGATTGTGGCACAAGCCAACTTTTTACCACATATTTAGTGTAGTACTCTTTTGAATCTTGCCTTTTGGTTATACCTTTACGTACATAAAGCATCTTCCCATCTAACATCTGGGATCATTTCTTATTATAATAATGTCTTGGGTTGTCCACCTTTCAACTGATCTGTAGGTAAGTCCATCTATAAGCTAATTCACAGTTTGATCTGCACATGTGGGTAAGGCCATGTTGATTTGATTATATGGATGACATCCGTGCGCGTATGAATTTTTGGCCGTTTCCAAAAAAAAGTTTTCAACCATACTATTAATCGTACAAAACAGTTGCAAAATTAGCAAAAATATACTGTAAGTTGCACAAAATAATATTGGAAAACAATATCAATGTTGTAGAATGCCAAAATCAAACCTTAAACGAAAAAGACAAAAAGATAAAGAAATGAATTTGAAGAGTAGATTTTTTGCCAAACCATACCCTGTGTCATTTGTTAAACCTTCATGACCACGTAGATTTCATGATGAAAGCCATATTATTATTTTTTGCCAAACATTTTTTATTCGCACGCTCGCATCAGTTTTGGGATTCCTAGAGGATGCCATCCATATAATCAAATCAACATGGCCTTAGGGGCCTTCAAGATTGACCTCACACATTGTGCAGTTGAAACTGTGAAATGGCTTATTTACAGAGAAGAGCCATGAGAAAGAGTGGGGCATTGCCCTTGAGTCAGCTGGCATCGCAGTAGCCATATTTCTATTGGTGTCTATTGCTGTTTCTGTCTACCAGCACAGGTTGGTTTATATATCATTATCACTAATAATCATGTTACCATTTCATCTTAATATATCATCAATGAAACTTGATTATAATACTTTTGATACTTGATAATAATTGTATTGCAAACTGTTATGTTTTTGTTCACCATGAATGGCATTGAGATTTAGTGTAAAATTGTGAGTTTCAACTATATGAGATCATTGGGCTCAAGTCAGCCACCAAAGTTATATTACAATCGTCTTGGATCCTAGTACCAAGTATGTAGCAGAACTGTTATAATTGTTATTCTACAATACCTGTCAAGTACATAACTGTGCATGTAAGATGAAATTTACAGAAATGAATGCGTTCTTAGCCCTAAACTATAAACTAATAATGTGCCTTTCAAAGTTATGCTAAAATCTGATTCAATCTAGTGATTTGATTTTCAGGAAAAAATTTCATGGCTGCATTACAGAACGATTTTTAGCGACAGTTTAATTAAGATATGTCATGTGTTTTTTCTGGGCCCTAGTATTATTGAATCACTGACTAAAAGTCTTTACTTTCAATGTTATTTCAGACGCAAGATCCTAGAACTGCTTCAGAAGAACAAGACCAGCAACGTCCCTCCCTCATTTGACAATCCCATGTATGAGGTGCCTGCTAATAATGTCAGTATTTAGATTGTCCTTGTCTCTTTTTCTTTATGCTCTAGTGTCAGGCCACACCGACTTAATTTTATGGATGACATCCTCTGAAAACCCCCAAACTAGTGCGCGCGGGCGAATAAAAAAAATTCTGGCCAAAAATAAAAATGCTACTAAACCGCAGGAATACAAAGCTGGTATATAATTGTGAATTTGTGTCTGACTCAGTACATTGCGACATGCTGGGGTTTTGTGGAGTTTATGATTCGGCACTGTATGTATGTACTGAGTTCTTGAGTCGTGGAGCTTTGGTAGCCTGGGTGCCATTCTCCAGAGTTACCACTGGCTCCATATTGTCGCTAACTACCATGGACTTACCCAGGACCAGAGGCTGAGGCCAGAGCCTCGGAGGACGTGATCTTTTTTTTTTTTGAGGACAGACAAAAATCAGTGAGCGTGTGGATGTCCTCCATAGAATTAAGTCGGTGTGGCCTCATCATAATAAATAGCAACTTAGGCCTGGTCACATTTGCCATACAATTGTTGTATGATCTCAAACTGAGAGCATTTTGGGACAGTGGTACAATTGTGCTGTACAAAATTAAAGTTGTCTTGTACAGAAAAGGTTGTCTTTGTCAGCTGTTGGTTCAGTCCCAGTCTGCTTGGAAATCCAACGTCAACCTACACCAAATGTGACCAGGCTGTCAGATGCGTTTGTCCTTAGTTACCCTTAATGACATGTAAGGGCTTTGTCAGCAAAATGCACACAGAAAAAACAACTACGTGCTGTGTAACCCACAAAATTATTACTTCTTTTCCAAATTATATTGATTCTGCTAAGATGTAGCAATTTTATGTGTCACTGATGCCTTTTGACCTGTTCACGATTTTTGCATTCTATTGTGCAACATTGTAGCTTGAAGCTTGATATAGTTCTAATTGTTTTGGGTAAAAGAATTCTAAATTTGATTTAAGACTTATTTTGTGACGAGAAAAGGCAGAAATATGAGATTTGAGCTCTTTTCAGTTCATTGCTGCTTTTTGAAATGTTACTGACATGAATATGTACTTTTCCTGTTCTTTCAGACTGATGATGGCCCAAGTGTAGAAGTGACTGCAGAAGCGTAGAGAAACAGAAATGGAGAAGATGCCTTCATCGTGCAAAGAACGATCATGACAATCATGTGTAGATCTGGGCTCTGACATGCTGCTAACATTTGAGTGTCAATACTAGCCTAATATCTGATACCAGTCTAGTCCATGTTATGTTAACTTTGCATGACTTTCCATGAAAATTTACGGATGGAAAAAAAACAAGTGGTGCATGTAATGTTCACAGCAATTTGAGGCAGGCCTTCAATGTATACTAAAGGAGAATTCTATCATTTTAACAAAAGAATGTCTGGGAAAACAAACTGACAAAACATGGAAATAGCTTACTTCAATTTTCCTTTAAATGTTAATGATATGGAAGGCTTTTTTCTCTAAAGCTGGTGTATTTGAAAAAAGCTTTCCAAAACTTTTGAAAGATTCCTGAATTCATAGTTTCCAAAATTGCAAAAATTTTGAATTTTTGAAATTAAAGCTGTCAGTTTTTAGACCGTCATAGAAAAAAGGTACTGATTTGAAAATGTGATGCTTGATGTTGTTGAGCATGATGGCTATGCAAAAAAAGGTGGCTGGAGCATTTCTCAATCCAAAAGTAAGTCTAGAATTCTGTGCAAGATTATGTACTTCAGAACATGCTTTTATTATTTGGACCTAATCTAACTTTTAGTAAAAAAATTACATTTAGAAACTTTTATATTACATTCTATTAGTCTGAAACAAGTATTGTACTACTGCAATAGTAAACAAAATGCAAAGAGATTTTAGCATTATACAGAACTAATGTGAATTTTGTGCAAGTTTGTGACGGTGGCAATAGGTGATGGTATATAGTATTTGTATATGTCGCTCTATCTTTAAAGTTAGTGATAAAGCTTTATCATCACACCCATTTATATATATAGACACTATATACATGCAAAACCTTGATGTTTATATATATGATGTTCACAAGAAGAGAGTATATTTTTAGTATGTGGTCAAAGTATTTATTATCTATTAAAAGAGACTGATGAACTGGAAATGACTAAAAGTAACCCCAAATTGGTAAATGAATAAAAAAGGCTAAAAGGGACCAAAGACCATGTATGATATCAATTTGAAAGGACTATCATTATGATAATAGTAATTATGTATTGATTTTATGTTGTGTTTGAAAAAATATTGAAGCCAAATGATTATGAAACTGTAATTCAAAATTTGTTTAATGGTTGTTACAAAATTATTGATAACAAATAATAACATGATGGTATGATAAGTTATTACAGAGATGGCAAGTAACTGTATTGACCTGTTCAGTTGTTTTATTATTTGACTCATAACCATAATTGTTATATATGATCGTGACTTTGAACTATGAAAAGAAAACCAAGAGCCAGTATAATTTCATGTACACGGAAACATTAAATTAGCACTGTTGGAAATGTTGGTATACTTAAGTAATGGATCATGGTATATCAGAGCTCCTTGAATAGACCGATCCTAAATGCAAGCTGACAACATGAAAATGCAAATATTTGACGGACATGCAGCCATTCTCTCATTAGTCAAACCACTCATTGCCATTCTCTCATTGGCTGAACTGCTAATTGTTATGGACAGAAAGGATTGTTGAAATGCCTAAAATAGATCGATCCTAAATGCAAACTGATAACATGAAAATGCAAATAGATGTATGGACATGTAGCCTAATTCTCTCATTGGTCAAACCACTCATTGCGATTCTCTCATTGGTTGAACTGCTAATTTTTAAAATGCCTAAAACCATGGAGTTAAAAAAAGAGACTTTTTAAACCTGCCTTGCTAAAACAGACTATGTGTCATAACACAATCACTCCCTAATTATTGAAAAAGAAGTTGGGGCCTTACATGTATATGGCTTAACTCCATAATGTCATGAATGCTGCGATCATGGATGCCTTACTTAACCCTCCCCATGCAAGAGGTGCATTTAACAACACCAACTTAAACGTACAAGTTAGCAGGACTTGGGTTAACTAATTGTGTTTGCTACATATTATACATGTTGTATAATGAACCCCATGGCCTATCATTGATGCCTTAACCTCTCCATGCCAGGAGCGGGTGCATTTAACTAAGTTACAGCTTAGCAGACAATGGTTAACTAATTGCGTTTACATATAAGGAACAATGTGGCAAAGTTGAAAGCTAATGTATTTGTACCGTTTTCGAATGGCATTATGAAAGTACACTGTGTCTATTAAAGTTGCCGTTGCACATACAGAGTTGATCTCTCTTTGTTGGTTAATTTTGTGGGTGACATCCTCTGGACCAAAATCGACGTGAACTAGGTTCCTGAACTTCATAGGCCATTCTAGAGTTTGGTCCCATCTCGTGAGCTGGTTCGGCGGCTCTCGGCAACTCATGAGCTGGTTCGGCGGCTCTCGGCAACTCGTGAGCTGGTTCGGCGGGTCTCGGCAACTCGTGAGCTGGTTCGGCGGGTCTCGGCAACTCGTGAGTTGGTTCGACGGCTCTCGGCAACTCGTGAGTTGGTTCGGCGGATCTCGGCAACTCGTGAGCTGGTTCGGCGGCTATCGGCAATTCGTAAGCTGCTTCGGCGGCTCTCGGCAGTTCGTGGGTTGGTTCGGCGTCTCTC